ACTATTTATTTTTGATTTGGATTTGTTTTGTGTGTAAAAAGAAATTACCAATTATATGTTTGTTTTTTTTTTAAAAATTTTAATTTAAAACTAATTAAATTAAATTTAATATATTTTATAAAAACTAATATATTATAAATGTTTCCAATAATACAATGATGTTAATTTAAACATCAAACCTTTTTTTTTATTTTTGAAAACAAAGAAAAAAACAATAAATTTTTTAAAAAAAAAATATAAAGAAAAATAAATTAAAAAAAAAAAAAGAAAAAAGATCGATAATATATAACAAAATAATAAAAATGATACACAACCACTGGATATATATTTATATGGTCAACATTTTGTGTGTGTTTTATTGTGTTGTATGTTGCATTTCTTTTTTATTACTTATAAAGTAATATTTGTTGTGTGTTTGTGTGGTGTATTTTTGAATTTTCTGTGTGATTTGTATATGCGAATTAAAAATATTTGTGTGTTACAATATAATGTTAGAGTAGTGTAATAGTTTTTTTATAGTACTATATATTGTGATATATAATGAACATATTTGTATATTGGTGAGATAAATATATATTTTTATTTTATTTTTATTTTTATTTTTTGTGTTATGTTTGTTTTATGTTTGTTTTATTTGGTGTATTATCTTTGATATTTAGAAATTTAAACCTATTTATAAATATTTCCAAATTCAATATATACTTTAATTTATTTTTTCTATGTTTGTTTGTGAATATTATTAGGTTTTATCCCTCGTGTGTGAATTAGTTCAATATACAAAAAAAATAGATTTAAAAGGCCAAAATATATATATATATTATTACAATCTAGAAATGTGCTAAAAACTTGATAGTTTGAAAAATTGCTGCTGCTGTTACTTTTGATGTTATTGAGGAGTTTTTATTTCAAATAAATATTATAATTTTTTATTATATTATTGAAATAAAGAAATGAAATTTTTTTGTTGTTTTTTTTTTATTTTTTTCTTTTAAAAATTTTTTTTATTATTTAAATATAAATTATAATTTAAAAAATGGAGTGAGTATGTGTGTGTGTGAATGTGGGTTTAAAAATACCCTTTTTTTTAAAAAAAAAAACAAATATAACTGACACAAAAAAAAAAAAAAAATCATAGGGCTAAATAAACCTTTTCTTGTTTTTTTTTATTTTTTTTTAACAATAATTTCTAAAACTAATTATAAATTATATAAAGGGCTATCCATATTATTTTAATAATAAATGATAAATTGAGAACAGATTATTTATTTTGCGTATGAGTTATTTAAGTGGGGGTGTGGGTGGGGTATTTTATTTTTTTTATTTTTTTTTATTTTTTTTTTTTATTTCTTCTGATTTTAAATTACCTTTTTGAGATTTTTGATTAATTATAAGATTTATAAAATACAATAACTCTATAGTTTTTTAAATATATTTTATTTATTTATTATTATCCACAAAGAAAAATAGTTTAAAATTAAAAAAAAAAAAAAAAAAAAAAAAAAAGGAAAATAATTCAAAAATAATTGAAAAAAACAATTTAAAAATATTTTTTTTTTTTTTTTTTAATTTTATTTTTAATTTTTTTTTCCATACAATCTTATTTCGATCAAACCCTATCCCCTGAAACTTTTTTTATTTTCGTAAAAAAAACTGCCCCCCCCATTCTTTGCCCATTTTTTTTAATTATTTTTTTGTTTTTATTTATATTACATGTACTATAACAGTTAAAAAAGAAAAATAAAAAAAATAATTTAAAAAATAAAATATTTTTATAATTTATTTTTTTTAGTTTTAGTTTTTTTTTTATTTTTTTTTTAATTATTTATTTAATAAATTTATTTCATTTTTTATTTAAAATTAAGTCGATTTGAAAAGAGCCATTTAAAGTTTCATTATAAAAGGGTTATTTAAATGGTTTGATCAGAGAAAAGGAATTTCTATATTACCCTTCAGTTTTGATAAATTTAAATTAAATAATAAAAGAATTATCTTTGGAACTTTAAATTTGTGTTGAATTTTAATGATAGGTTTTTAAAAAAAAATAAATAAATTAAAAACAATGTTCCTGTGGGTAGTCGTGTGTAGAGTGTGGGTTTTGAAAAAATAGTGTGGGTGTTTATGTGAATTTGAAAAAAAAAAAAAAAACTCAAATTTTTTTATATAATATACAAATATGCATCTGATGAATCCCGTTTTGGATACTTAAATTTTTTAAAATTTTTCCCAATAATAACATAAGTTTTTTTTTTTTAAAACTATATATTAAAAAATTATATTAAAAAAAATTTAAATTTTTTTTAAAACTTTAATATAATTTTTTATATTTATATAAAATGGGTGATAATAAAAAAGATTTAAATACTGTATCAGAAATTTCACCTTCAGATTTTGAGGAAGTCATTAAAGATGAAAAGGTTCAAAGGAGTTTTATTGATATCATTTTGGATAGAGTTCTCAACGAAGGTAAATTCTGTGCCATGTATTCCGATTTATGCAAAAAAATTATCGAATATGAAAAACAAAACAAAGATCAAATTAGAAAAGTTGTCATTGAAAAGTATAACCAAATTGAAATGGAAAACTACAACCGTCTTAATGCCAAAGAAAAAGATGAATTTGACACTAAACACAACATCAAGGCCACCTTTAGAACTTTCCTTTTATCCGCATGTCAAAAAGAATTAGAACAAATTAAATTTGTAAATTTTAATAAAGTACCAAAAGATTTAAAACCAGAAGATAAAACTGATTTTGAAGAACAACAATTTAAAGAAAGAAAACGTATTTTTGGTTTATTTAAATTTTTGGGTGAACTTTTCAAACAATCAATATTATCAGAGAAAATCGTTCATACCATTTTGATCTCCTTAATCTGTGATCCATCTGAAATTAAATTAGAATGTTTCTGTATACTTTTATCAATAGTTGGTAAACATCTTTCACAAAACGAAGAGTCCTATTCATATTCCCAAACAATGCAACAGTTGGAAGAATTACCACTCGAAACTCTTTCTCAGCGTATTCGTTTCATAATTCAAAATGTTATCGATCTCAAGAATAATAATTGGTTTTCAAAAACTGATGACTCTGCCAAAACTACAGTCAATAGCAATGATAAAGAATTTGTTGAATGTATATTCAATAGTTCAAATTCACCATTACCATCATCACCATCACCATCACCCATTTTGTTATCATCGCCTTCACACGTAAATACTCCAGACAGATGCACAAATCAATCCATAGTTTGTATTCCAAGAGAACAATTAGATCAACTTGTCAATGAAAATAAAAATTTAACTCAGCAATTAGAAAAATTAAACAAAAAATCCGTTTCAATAACAACACTTCAACAAATGAAAGAGGAATTTAATATTAAGATTGAATCCATTAATAACAATATTGCTTTTCTTAACAATGAAAATCAAAATAAAACTTCTACTACTGACCTCTTATTTAACAGAGTTATCATTCTTCAGAACGAAAGCACAGATATCAAAGATAGAATCAAGAAATTGAATCAAAACAACAAAGATTTACCAGAATTAACCTCGTCTCTAGGTGATCGTTTATCTACTTTAGAAGAAAAATTTGCAAAACTCGAGAGAAAGGCCGAAAAAATGGAAAATGATAAAAAGGAATACACAAAAATAATTTATGATAAATTAAAAAGCCAAAATAAAGAAGACACCTATGGTATTGCAATATCCCGTGCTTGTATTGCGATAGAATATTATCTCGAAAATATTTTATTGGTTAATATAAATAAATACAAAGAGGTTTATAAATGGGGTAAATTCAAATATACATTTGACAAAAACGACGACGCCAAAAAAGTTGCAATGAAGGACAGAATTAATGTTGAGCAACTTAGAGAACTTAAAAATCACTGTAAGGAAAACCAACACTGTAGTGATGATATGAATGAAATTTTATCAACCCTCGAAAAATATAAAAATGTTTTGCCATTAAATTATCAACATCAAATTAATTTAATTATACCCTTGATTAGAGAAGACATGAAGAAAAATTAAAACATTGAAACTATTTCACAAAAAAACTTTACCAACACAAAAAATTATAGAAAATAAAAATTAAAATCCAGGATTTCCCTTTAGTTACTACAATTCATCAATAATATTTTTATTGTTTTAATTTTTTAATTTTTTCTTTTTTGTTTTTATTTTTTATTTTAAATTTTTTATTTCTACTTTTTCATTATTTTATTAACTATTAGATTCTGTGCGAAAAATATATTTTTCTGAAATTCTTAATGTAATTGTTTTATTTTAAATCAAGTTTTTTTATTCCAATATCAATGATTTTAGTGTATTAAAGTTTGAAATAGAATTTTTTTTAAATTTATTAGTTTATTTAAATGAATTTTTTTTTTTTTATGTTTTATATGTTTTATGTTTTATGTTTATGTTTTATGTTTTATAATTTGTCTATTCGATGTGTTTAACCATTTCAAACCATTGTCTTAATGTATCTGAGAGAATGCTTGGAAGATTATTGAGGCTTCTGAGAATGACATAGTATGAGAATGGGAATTCGGACATGTAGTTTGTACGTTGAATCTTGCCATTGTTGAATGAAATAGACTAGAAATAAATAAAATAAAAGTTAATAAAATATTTTTTTTTTTTTTTTTAAAATTAAAAATAAACTTACTTCAAAATCTAAAATACTATTATTATTAACTGGATTATCAATTACAATGAAAACTATAAATAAGTTTTTAATACTAGCTTCTCTAAGTATTTTCTTTGTAGTTTCTGGGTCACGTAAACTCCAACCATCTGAAATAATAAATACTAATTGCATAGTTGGTTCTAGTGAACCACCTTGCTTATTCATTTCCATGATTTGAAGGGTTTTTGAAAGGAATGTTGTCATATTGGTTTTGGTTTGGTCAAATTTGAATTGGGTAATAATTTCTGGACCAGTTTGATCTGAAAATACTTGATCAAATGAATGAACTAATTGAACATCTTCACCAAATCTAACGATACCGAGTTGACCAACTTCAAGACGTGACATTGCTCTTGAAATCATTGTCATTGCTTCGAGTGCAAATTGACCGCTATGATAAATTGCCATTGATTCAGTATCATCAATTGCTAATAAAACTTGATATTGTCTCTTGTTTGGTTTAGTACGTCTGAGCCAAATTTTATCTTTCTTAAATTGTGAAGCAATATATGGAATGACCTTCTTCATGTTGATTCTCTTACCAGTCTTATAGTCACCTTGAAGTTTGGTAGCTAAAGTAGGTTCAAGGATTAATCTGAGTTGTTCACATAAATCTTGAGATAAATCTGAGGTTAATTGTTCATATTTCTTCCAAAGTTCTGAACCAATTTCTGGATTACCGTTGTTTTCCATTTTGAATTGCTCCAAATCTTGTCTCATCTTTTCTAAATCCTCTCTTGTTAATTTCTTTTCTTCAACAGATTCAATAGTTTCCTCTTCTTCATCCTCTTCTTGTTCTTCTTCTTCGGATTGATTTGAGTCTTTAATACCTGTAATGTTTTCTAATTGTTCTTTTGTGAATTTATCTTTTTGATTTAAGCCAAGTGGATCATCTTCATCTTTATTTTCTTCGTCTTGTTTATCTTCTTTTTTATCTTCTTTTTCTTTTTCTTTTAATTGATCTTGTTTTAATTTTGACATTGAAATCTTTTTATTTTGATCCATTTCTTCTTTAGAGTCATCTTGGTGTTCAATTTGTTGTTTGTGGTCTTGGTCATCGTCTATATCCATTTGATCATCATCAAGCTCTTCTTCTTGTTCAGCGTTTTCATCTTGAGCTTTTTGTTTAATATCTTGTAATTGTGAATCGGTAGCAGCAGCTAAAGCTTGTTCAGCTTCTTCTTCTTCACCATCTTGGTTTTCTTTATCTTCTTTCATAAATTCGTAATCTTGATTTTTATTCTCTGGAGCATTCTTATCTTGTTTTGGTGCTTTTTCGTCGGTGGTTGGTTCTTCTTCCTCTTCGTTCTTATCGAGTAAATTGAGACGTTTTTTCCATTCTTTATTAGCATCACCCATTGATCTATATGGATTTGGATCGACTTGTTGTTTCTTGGGTGGTTTTTGTTGTTGTTGTTGTTGTGAGTTTGGTGGTGGTTGGGCTTTGAGATTCTTTAATGCACCTGTATCATTTTCTGATGGAGCTTGTTGAGTCATGCCACTATCATCGTCAGCATTATCTTCTTGGTTAGCTTGATCTTGCATTTCATCATCATTATTTGAAACATTTGATTTTGAACCTTTCTTATCTTTAACACCTAATGGTTGTTCAGATTCCTTTTCTCTGTCATCTTGTTGTTGATCTGCAGTCAATGAGTTTTGATCTTTATCTTCTTCATCTTCTGCATTTTCTCCATCTTCTTCTGGAGTAATAGAATCTGCATTTGATTGATCAATGTTATTTTCTTTATCTTCTTCTTCTTTATCTTCTTTATTTTCGTCTTCCTCTTCGTTTTCATCTTCGCTCTCACCCTCTTTATCAACACTTTCACCACCGTCACTATCTTGACCACCTTCTTCTTCTTGTTTTGATTCTTCAGGGAACGGTGGCTCTTCTTCGCCAGCTTGTTGTTCTTCGTCACCACTTTCTTCAAACTCTAACTCATCTGGAATTTCCATTTGGTCATCGCCTCTTGCATCCATATGGTTTTCTTCTTTCTCTTGTTCTTGATTAACTGGATCTTCTTCACCTTCTTCATCTTCTTCACCACCAAATTCTTCATCTTCTTCTCCTTGCTTTTGCTCTTCTTCCTCTCCTTCTTCTTCACCAATTTCTTCATTTTCATCTTCTCTACCTTTATCATCTGGTTTCTTTTTGTCATCTTTATTATCTTTTTTATCGTCTTTCTTTTCTTCTTTGTCGTCATTCTTTCCCATTACTTCATCAGTATTGGTATCACCTTGACCATCTTCTTCACCTTCTTCCTCTTCTTTAACATCTTCTTCATCATCCCAAAGTTTTTCATCGACGACGTTTTCTTCTGGTTTTTCTAATTCACCCAACTCTTTATCATGTTCCTCTTCTTCTTCATCTTTCTTCTTATCTTCATCGGCTGGGTCTTTTTTAATATCGTGCATATCACCTTCGAAATCATCTTCCATATCAAAGCCTTGGTCTTCATCTTTTTCTTCTTTCTCTTCGTCTTCGTCTTCATCTTTTTCTTCTTTTTCATCACCTTGGAGACCTTCGATTTCTTCTCTATCTCTAATTCTATCACTAACATCTTCTTTACCTTTACCTTCACCCATACCGGTACCTTGGACATCGTCTTCAAAATTACCATTACCTCCTTCACCATCACCAGTTTCACCTTCTTCTTGTGGTTTACAGAAACCTTTAGTATAAAGTTGAACGAAAACACCAGTAACTACATAATGTAATTTACAACATGTCTTATGATATGAAAGTAAGTCGACAATATTTTGATTAACAATTAACATGAATTGGGATAATATTGGTTTTAATTGATCTAACATTTGTCTATAAATAGAGAGGGTTGATTTACTGGTTGTTTCAGATCCATTAACAATAGTTTTATGAAGATTAATAAATTGATTTAAAAGATTACCAAGTTGGAGTGATTTCATTTGACCATTGATGAATTGATTTAATTTGCTGATACTTCCATCTTCCATTCTATATTCTCTAACTTTTTCTAAATCTTCGTCTTGTTCTTCTTCTTGTTCTTTTTCTTGTTGTTCAACGACTGTATCTGATTGTTTCTTTAAGTTTTGAATTGAAATTAATAAACTTTCGACAATATTTTCAAATTGTTTATTAAATTCTTTAATGTTATTTTCATTGTCTTGATTATTATCTAAAACTTGATTTGATGCTAATAAATCATAATCATTACTAAATTTATTTAAAACCACATCAATCTAAAAATAAAAATAAATAAAAAAAATTATATTAATAAAATTAATTTTTTAATCTGAATTGTTTTAAATGTTAATTCTACTTACATTATTGACTAAAATTGAAATTGGTGATTTAATATAACTTAAATTTTCTAAATCTAAATTTAATAATTTTTCTTTAATTTCGTTGAATTGATTAAAGATAGATTTAATGAAATATAGAGATGACCAAGACATCATTGGATATTGATTATCTAATATTGAATAGAGATTACGTAATTTGGAATGGTATTGGTCGATTCTTAATTTTGTGGATTCAATCAATTGTTGAATTGAAACAATTGGTGGAATAATGGTTGAAATAAAGCCGCCACCTTGGATACCTTTAGATGTCTTTATGCAGAGTAATAAAACTTCGTTAATACCTTGGTTTAGTTGATTAATTGATTCTCTTTGAATTTCAAACCAATTTGATAATGATTTTTGGTTATTGAAAATTTCATTAGATTGGACTTTGGTGGATGATTCTTCTTGTTTAATATCATCAGTACTTAAAACATTTAATTGATTTAAAAACAAGTTGGTAAATGAGATTAAGTTGCTCCATTTTTCGATTGATTCTATTAATTGTTTTCTTTGAGATAAAATAATTGATAAAAAGTTTTCAATATAGCCATTAATTCTTTGGACATGTTTACTGGCAACATCGGAATGGTATTCTAATGAAACTTGACGAAGTCTGTGGACTCTGGAAACAATACGGTAAAAGTATGAGTCTGATTGTTCAATTAATTTATTACCACAATCTCTAGTGATTAATGTATTGGATTTTGGTAAATAATTTGTATTATCGTTTGAGGTAGGAAGGTGTGGTACGCTAAAGAGATAAGCAATTTGTAACTGTTCATGTGAATAGCTATTTGAATGGAATGAAAGACCCATATCTTCAAATCTAGATAATAATTCTTTTAATGCTAACTCTTTTTCTTGTCTTTTAATCTTATCTCCTGCTAATTCACCAATTCTTTCGATAATTGTACCAGCTAAATCATCAATGATTTCAACACCATCTCTGATAACTTTGAAACTATAAGATTCCAATAATGATTGTTTACAAATCTTAATCATTCTTTCTGAGAGTTGTGGCAATTTATTTTTGTATAGTTGTTGATTATCGATTTCAAATAAACCATTTAATAATTGATTGTCTTGAATTTGAATTGATTCTATTTGTTTTGATTTATCTGAAATTAAATAGCTTAATGAATTTAATTTGAACCAATCATTAAAGTTTTCAATGTTATTGTTGTTTTGTTGTGGTGGTTGTTTCTTTGAGCCTTTTTTGGTGACAACTGTGAGTTGATTTGGATATAAGACTTTGGATGGAATATCAATGTCCGTTTCGATTTGAGTAAAAAGATCAGATAATGGTGATGCTAAAACATTCTTGTATTTGATTGTAATTTTAGCTAAATTTCTGTGGGATACTTCAATATGATGTTTTAATCTTTCATATTGGGTTAATAATCTATTATCTTCCCATCTTGATAACTTGATAAATTCGATAGCTTTTTCTTCAATTGGTTTGATTTCTTTGGCTAAACGATCTTCAAATCTTGGAATAAAGTTTTCGTAATACTTGTAAACATTATAGATTATATCAGACATTGATTGTTTGTATTGGACTCTAACTTGATCAACACCATTCATTAATTTAACGGTACTATTTAATTGTTTATAGAAAGCTTTTAGTAATTCAATACGAGTTAAGAAATCACCTAAATTTGAACAATAAAGATATTCTTGAAGTGTTTTAAAGTTCTTTTGTAAGTTTTCTTGATGATTTTCTTCAGGTTCGTCATTGATGAGTTCATAGAGAATGAACCATGATTTTAATGCTTTAACTTCAGCTTCTTTTTCTTGACTTTGGAAAATTGATGGCCATGATTCAATTTCTAATTTTCTCCAACGAACAATCATTGATGAAATGATATTTAAATGATCTTGAATTGAAACTGCTTTACTGGCGAATGATTCCCATTCTAATGATTTTCTTAATAAAAGTTCTAAACCAGTTAAGATTTTAGCTAATGGATCGGTGGCTGGATAGGTTAACAAACGATCAATTAATTTAACCATGAGTACAAGATTGGCTTGGTCTGGGTAGTCTTTTAAGATAACAAAAATTCTTTCTCTATAAGCTAATAATGGTTCACGAGTGTTACTGATTTCTGCTACATTTGGATCTCTATAGATATTGTAAGTCTTATTTTGGAAAATAACATCGTTTGCATCTTCGACACCTTGCTCTCTCTTGTAGAGATATGATGAGGTATTTAAAAATTTAAATTTGTTGTCTAATTTACTATAAACAATTAAAGTTGGTGGACGAACTGATAAAGATTCTCTTAAATTGGCTGCTGATAAAATATGTGAACCTAAGGCTTGTTCATCGAATTGCATATCGCCTGCACGTTGATTTAAAATCTTCATGAGTAAATGTGATGATGAATAGAAGAGTTGGAAGAGTTCAGAACGATCTTTTTCACTTAATTTCCATTGTTGTTGATCTCTTGGAATTGGGATACCATCTAAGTGTTTGAAAATATCTCTGTGAATTGAACATAATTGTAAAACTTCTTCATTGTTAATTGAGCTCTTGAAAAACATATCGGATGTTTCATCTTCAGTAGCTTGCTCTTCAGCAGGGGTTTCATCATCAACTTGGTTTTCAACTACGTTTGCAACCTCTAAATCTTGGAATTCTTTATAGAAGCTTGGGAAAGATGACAAGAATACTTTTTCATCCTTTTCTTCTTTAGTTTCCATTTTATGTGATTGGACTTTATATTTAAACTCTTGATTTGCTGCTTCGTCTTTCTTTCTCTTTTCTTCTTGTTGGAATTTCCATTCTGAAACAAAGGTTCTAAAGATATTATCAATGGATTCTAAACTTGCAACATCTAAATAATTTGAAGTTGAAAGTTGGCTGTAAATTTGGCAAAGTGATGAACGTAATAAAAGACCAATAACTTTGAAGTTTTGGGTACCTCCATTTGAAGAATCTTCATTGGTGAATTGATTGAGTTTCATCATTTCTTTGATTGAGTCAAGTGTGAATTTGTTCAATAATAAATCATTGTTGAAATTGTTTTGTTTGATTTCTTCAATATCACTTATTTCTTTGATTCTTGGGAAATTTGACAAGGATAATAAAACCTTTTGAATTTGTTTAACTACCTCTTGATTATTGCCACCAAGTTTAAAATCGTCAGCTTTTTGTTTGAAAGATACAGACATCAATCTTAAACCAGATTTCATTTGATAAACTGATGTGATAATTGGAACAATGATATCACGATATCTAGAATAATATTTCTTTTCACATGATTGAATGAAATGATTAGCTTTGTCTTGCCACATAGTCTCTGTATTTAATACCATTTGATTATATGATGAGTTGTTGTTTGATTGATGGTTTAATTCATCATCTTCATTACCATTAGTGTTCATATCTACATCTTGTGATTTTTGGACATTGGATAATTGTAATTTGTTAATTAAATCCAAAATCTTTTCAATGTTGCTAAATTGATCAGAGAATTGACTGATATCTCTATAGAGTTCTTCGAATTGTGATGGAATTGGACGAAGAGTAATCTTCTTCATTTGTAAAGTTAACTTTTCATCAATTTGATTCTTTTCTTCAACTAATTGTTCGATAATTAAGTTTGAATCTCTACCAGTGTGAAGTTTTTCAATTTGTTTTCTAATTTCAATTTCGTTTTCTAAATGGTTTGAAGTTTCTTTTGAGTGTTGTAAAACAACGCCATACTTTTGGGTTGGATCAATTGAGTTGGATGGGATATACATTATTAATCTAAAGGTGTTTAATAACAATGTTAATTGACCAAAGATTGATTGTAATTCGGTATTTGAAGTTTCTTCAGTGGAGTTTGAGAATATCTTTTTGACCAAATCGAAACATGGAACTAAAAGTTTCTTAGATTTGGTATTGAATGATTGGTCAGTTGAATTTGAAATTAATGATTTAATTGAATCAATTAATTGATTAATAGTTAAATCAATGTTATCTACACTGATATTTGATAACAAGATATCACCTAATTGAATAATATTTGAAAGCAATTGATCCTTGAATTGTTTGTCAAACGATTTGTAGAATGATGAAACAGTTGATAAAATTAAAGCAATTGATTGTTTAATTTGATATTCGAATGCTTCAATATTTGAAACTCTACTTGAACCATCTGAGTTTGTTAAATGTTGAATAATTTGATTTAATTGGTCAATTTTTGTTGGAATTTCAGCAATACTGACGTAACCCCAATCGCAGGTAAGATAATATGAAAAGATTGATTGAATATTTTGGAAGAGACGTGGTGGACCATAACCAAATCTAATTGAATCGTAAAGATGATTAGATGATTCTTTAATGGTGGCAGCTTCGTTCTTTGTTAATTGATACTTGTACTGTGGCATTGATGATCTTGATACGCATGAAATATCATTAAATGAATTGTTCCATTGACTTTGATTATAAATATAAAGAATTGAATGGATTACACTTTGAATTTCAATAATACCAATGGAACATGGTTCGGTAGCTTCTTCTTCCTCTTCTTGTTCTTGTTGATTAACTTTTTCTAAATAATTATCAATCATCCAAATTAATTTTTGATAGAATGCTAAATGATAAATTGATCTTGGAATTAAATTTGAAGATTTGTAAGATTTAACAATATATTTTAATTCATCAATTATGGACTCTAAGATTGGAATTATTGTTGGTTTCATTTGACCACTTTCGATATCCATGTGTTGAAGTAATAATAATTGAGATAATTGAGCAATGATAAATGTTTCTTTCAAGTGAAGATTATGATCAATTAATGGGGAAATTGATACAACTTGATGTTTAATTGATAATGGGTCAAAATGTTCCATAGATTTATCACTTTCCATTTCAATTTCAGTACCAACTGGGTTAAATGACTTGAGTTGATCTTTTTGTTTATTAATTAATTCTAAAAGTTTATCAGAAAGACTGGATGGAACCTTATCTAAATTGTTAATAAAATCGTTAACACGCTCCAATTCTTTTTCGTCTGATGAATTTAACTGATAGTTGGCCCAATATAATGTTGAAATAGCTTCTAATAAAGTCTTTCTCCATTCTTCGTCAATATAGTGACTGTTATGTTTGAGTGGATTTTCATTCTTGTTAAAGTTGAATTGAACCTTATCTAAAAGTGAAAGGAATTGAGCATCTAATTGAACCAAATGGTCAGATTTCATAACCATTGGGTAACCACTAACCTTCCATAAACGGTTGTTTGAATTATCGTGGAATGATTTGAATGATGTTTCAATTTTATCAATTAAAACTTGAAGGCCAGTATTAACTTTAATAGACTCGAATGCTTTAGTTAATAAATTAATTTCTTTGTGTATCCATCTCCATCTAATAATAAATTCACCTAAATTAAACTTGCTTGATGGTAAGGAGAATAAACTATTCCAGAAATTATTCTTTAATTCAATGAGATGATTAAAGCCTTTAATGAGAGCATCATTACCACCACTTACTTGTTGAGATGATTCATTTAACCATTGGTCGATTTGGTCATCTAATGATTTGAATAAACGATAAATTACTGAAACAACATCTTGGTGTGGTAAATGATCTCTACTTAACATCTTCTTTGTGTATGCTAATGATAACAAAATGACTGGTTGTTGTTTAATAACTTTTACTGATGTTAAATTGGATGCTTGAGATTTAAGGAATTTGGTGTATTCTTTTTCCTGTTTGGAAGTTTGGATAAAGAGGTTTAATAATAATTTGATAATTTCCATTTCAAATAAAATTGAATTGAAAAGTTCTTTTAATGAGCCACTAGCACTATTGTCATCAATGTCCATTTGATCATCTTGAACCAATGGTTTGTAATTATCTACTTTTTCTTTAATTAATTTAAATAATGAATCATTATTCTTCCATTGGTGACCTTGATAAACCAATAATTGTTTGGAATCGATTGATAAATTAATTGATGATAATAATTGATTTAATTTTTCTTCAAATGATTTGTAAACACTATGGCCGAATAATTGCTTCATGGAGGCGACCAATGAGAGTAAAATTTGATTACTTGGGTCATCTTTTTGTTCCTTATTCTTCAAATTATTTAAATAAGAGATATAATTTTCTAACATTGATGAATTTAAATTTTCAATTAAGAATTTGGCTGAAACTTTGTAATTTTCGATTTGTTGTAATTTTTCTTCCTGTTGGTCATCAGATGAGTTGGCAACCAATTGTTTTAATTTGTTGAAATAAAATTCGAAAAATTCTGAATTCTTAGTTAATGATGTTGTAGTTGAATCATTAACATAATCTATTCCCTTAATGAATTTTGGATAAATACCCAAAACGGTTAAATCTGATTTTAAGATTTCTTGAATTACAGATGATGAGAAAACAGTGTTATAGATTGTAGAAATTAATTGTTTTTGAGCGATATGTCTACGTGGACGAACATAAATTTGTTCCATTGAATTACGAATTGAACTTTCTAATGGGAAACCTCTTTGAAGTTGATCTAACATTAATTTGCCCCAATATAAAAGTTGGGAAAGAGTAACTGGGTTTTCAATGGTTGAGGAGAAATGAGTGAAAATTTGATTGTGGAATTCAATCATTTGACGGGTTAATGATGCGATTGGAATACCAAGGGAGGTTAAGAGAGTTTGATTATCAAAGTTGACAATATGTGGTTCTGGCATATAAATTTCAATACCTCTATTACGCATAGCACGAGAGATTTCACCTTTACGGTCATCCATAGTTAAAAAGATACGGAAATTTTTATGTGGCTTAATAACCTTAACTTGACCATCAACCATACCTCTTTCGTTGAGCATTAAAACACCATCTTGTTCTAATAATGGATTAAGACGATCCAAAACAGTTGGGTTACAAAAATTGACATTATCGATTAAAATCCATGCACCAGTTTCAAGTGCTTTAATTAAGAGACCATCAATCCATTCAAAACAACCAGTAACTGATTCTTTTTCAATTGTCTTGAGACGTTCAAGTTGTGATTTAATATCTTGGATACTTGATAAATGTTCGATTGAGTCCATGTTAAATTGAAGTGATACCTTTTCTAATGCAACAATAATTTGATTTAATAACTCTAATAATTCTGTATCAACTAAAGCATTGTTATTGTTAGAGCCAAGAGAATGTTCTTGTTGTTGGTGTTGCTTGGAACGAGTGACAAAAATATTCCAGACTTGATAGATATCTTGAATTGATGCAATGCAAAGTGGTAAAAGTTCAGATGCATTTTCGTGGTTAAAGTAGGTCATAATATGACTTGAAACCTTAGTTATAAGAGCTGATGTTGATGAAATGATTTTCTTTTGATAACGGACCATATCAATTTGCTCAAAACCACCAAGAATTTCGGTAGTATCAACTGAACTGTTCATAGAAAACTCGTATAGAGTGTTTCCAGTGAGTTGAGCTAATAAACGAATGGATGATGTCTTACTTGTTGAAGTTGGACCAATTAAAATGCTCATCCAATTCATTTCAATACATTTCATAATGTTTTCTAATGGATTTAATAAACGATGGAGTAATTGAATATTTGAACCACTATTGATAATAGCACTTGAGTCACTATTAGTTGAAGCAGAGTGCTCTTGATTTCTTGGTAATAAAGATGAACCAATTTGTAAATATTCTGGGGTGATAGTATAATGTGGATATTTATAAGTTTGATCGTAGGTACAATCGTTGTTGCCAAATACTTGTTTATAAAGCTCGATGACGTGTAAACGATCTTCTTGAGTTCTCATTCTTTGGAGATAAATTAAATCGATGAATCTACCTGGGTTTGAAACTGATGATTTATCTTTAACGATTAAGTCACACCATCTGAAAGTATCTCTTAAATTAAATTCCCATGGAGCACCTTTTCTACCGAATTTATGTTCAATCATTGACTCTTTGAACATTAAGTGATTGAAATCGATCATATTTTTAATAGTTTCGGCTGGAATTAATGGGTACATTGCAGTACTGATGAATAAAAGATCGTTCTTATCTAATTGATCAATGAAAACTTGTGTGAAACGATTGAGGAATGATTTTGGTAAACCTTTACGACCACCACCTTGATGGAGTGGATTTTGACATGCGAATACTCTAAAGCTTGGATGGCATTGGAAAGTCTTACCCAATTCTGGGATGTAAACTTCTGAACGATGATCTAAACATGAATTTAAACCTTCAAGTACAGTTTGTGAGGCAAGATTGAGTTCATCTAAAAGTACCCAGTAACCTTTACGAAGTGCTTCAAGGAAAACACCATCTCTCCATTCAAATTGACCACCTGTACCACCTTCAACTGGAAGATCTGAACCTAATAAATCCATAATATCGGTTTGTTCTGAAAGATTGATACGAACAATAGTGTTACCAGTTGCATTTGCAATAGCAGTAATTAAAGAGGTTTTACCAACACCTGGTGAACCTTCAATTAAGATGGCACGTGGTAATTGCATACCACGAAGTACACGTTGTGCATTTTTTGATGTAGTTGGTGCTGATAAACTAAATTGTATTTTTGGAACATTTGATTCATTGACTGGAATATAAAATGGATGAATACCAAATCTCTTTTCGTCTCTGATAATTTGAATTGTTTCTGAACCATTGCCTTTATTTAAAAGCTCTCTTTCGAATTTTAATGTTTCATCTTGATTTGAATTTGAATCGTTCGAAATTTGTGAGATTAAACGAACTAAACATGCTTCACGTAATTTTAAACCTTCAGATTCTGATGATGAATTTGAACCCATACCAAAACCATCCAATAAAACAAGACATGCACCATGAATATAGGATTCATTTGGAGTTAATAACTCTTTCTTCATACAAAGGTTCATAAAGTTGATCCATGATAAAATATCTCTGAGGGAAATAACTCTTTTATTCTTTTGAACAGTTAAGAGGTGTTCAATAAATTCTAACATTAAAGTACCTTTACCTTTTAATTTTGAATCTGTGAAACGTTCTTCAATAATTTGTAAAAGATCAGCATGTGAGCTAATTGCTGGAACCCAAATTTCTGTGAAACGATTTCTCATGGCTGGAGATAACTCTTTTTTACCAAAGTCACCACCTGGATTCATAGTTGCCAATATTCTAAAATCTTGATGACCACGTAACTCTTCAATTTCTACACCACCTTTTTCTGCTAAAACTAAAAGTCTGCTTGGTTCTAATACTGAATTTAATCTTTCTAATACTGCATCTTCAGCGAGTGAAATTTCATCGATAAGGAAGTAGTCACCAGATTTCATAGCTTCGACTAATGGACCATCGACCCAATTAAATAATGAGCAATAAGTACTATAAGTTTTATCGATTTCGGTAACAAATTGTCTAAGTTCGTCAGTGATGGATTTGTTTGATTGAATGGATTTCCATGAGGTTACAAATAAACTTTCCATAATATCTTTAATTGGTAATGTATCGATAGTGGTAGCATTATATTCTGAGAGATCTAATTGATAAAGATTTAATTGAGCAATATCGTTGAAATATTTCTTTACAAGTGAGAAAAGTTTACCTAAAACTTGATCACGGCCACGAACTGGTCTTAAACCACCAATGAAATCTGCAGTTTCAGTGTGTTGATGACAATTTAAAATATGGAGTTTTTGTTTATTGAGAATTGAATAAATTTGACAAATAGTGGTCTTTGAGCAACCAGTTTCACCAACTAATAAAATTGGTTCTTTATGTTCTAAACATTTACCTACTAAACTAAAGAGACGCTTCATTGATCTGGTCCATACGATTTTATCTAAATGATTTTGCTTGCAAACTTGTTCGTCATTAGCTAAAATATCCATAATTTGTTTAAATTCTGGGGTTTCATCGCATGCATAAATTTCTTCCATATCAATTTTAATCTTGAGATGCTTTTCAATAACCTGTTTTATAATTGCCTTTTCGTCATCTTTACGTAAACGCTCAGCCAATAACATAAAACCAGCATAACCTAACTCTTCGTATGATGATGGTTTACGTTCAGCCCATCTAAAAAGATCTCTGAATGTGATGGCACCATGTTTACCTGCGAAAACTTGGGTACTACCTTGTCTATTTAATTGGAGTTCTTTCATAATTGCAACTAATTTCTTACAATAACTTGGTGGAAGAGCACAACGCTTGCATAAAATTTCTTCCAATTCATTTTCTGGGATATCATCGACGTGGAGTTCAAGGAAACGATTTCTAAAGGCACGGGATAAAACCTTTCTACCACCATAAAGACCTGGTGGATTTTGAGTAGCAAATAACATGAAGTGTGGATGTGGTTTGACGACCTCTTGAGTTTCTGGAATAAAGAGCTCTCTATTATCATCGAGTAAACGATTTAAAGCTTCTAAAACTTCAGATGGAGCTAAATTAAGTTCATCCAATACTACCCAATAACCCTTACGTACAGCTTCAACTAAAATACCCTCTTGGAAAACCAATTTTCCTTTATCATCTGAAATATATTGACCAAGATATTCTTGTAAATCAGTGTGTTCATGATTATTAATACGAATAAATCTATGACCAGTTCTTTGAGCTAAAAATTCAACCATTGAAGTTTTACCACTAGAAGTTGGACCTTGTAAAAGAATTGGATGTTTACGAGAAACTAAAACTCTAGATAAATTTGAAAGATTAGCTTTAATTGATGGTGTTAAAATATAATGTGGTGGTACGATTGGTTTTTCATCACCACATTCGATCCAAAACTGTTCGATTTGTACATATTTTTCTATTTCAGTATTTGATGGTTTATTTAATGGTTGGCTATAAAGTTTATTATCACTAAATTAAATTTTAATTAGTATATTTTAAAATTATAAAAAAAAAAAAAAAATTATTTTTAAACTTACCCTTTTTTAATATATTGTTTAATTAATTGTTCCATCATTGGATAAGATTGTCTATTTAATTGAGTCAAGAAAGACATACTAATACCTTCGAAAAGAGCTCTTTGGAAACCAAAAGATTTAGTGACATGTTTTGTATAATTTAATGCTCTTGATAAAGTACGTAAACTGAAGTGTGGCTTTTGATTTGAACCATCCAACATTTTATTTTGAGACTCTTGTTTTGTTTTTAAATAAAATTCGACAATATCTTCGATTGGTGGATGTGGTACAACATTTTGAAGAACAGTTTTGACAACCAAACAAAGATCGGCCTTGTTATCTAAATCATCTACATAGTATTCAGTGAAACGATTACGAATACCTGGTGGTAAATCCTTTTTACCAATATCAGTTGGTGGATTCATACAAGCAAATACTTTGAAATTTGGATGTCTTTCAACTGGTTCGACATCACCTTTCTCTGTGAGTGTTAAAGATCCACCTTCAAAAAGACCACTTAAACTTTCTAAAGTTTCACTGGTTGCTAAATTCATTTCATCTAAGAGTACCCAATAACCTTTACGGATGCAATTGATTAATGAACCTTCAACAAAACTAAAAGCGAAATTGTTCTTTGACTTTTCGAATTGAATTGATAACTTTTTGATATCTGCTGCTAATTTAACCCATTTATCTTTAAATTCTGAACGAAGTTGACGTTTTTTACCAGTACCTTCGGTGGTATCTTCTTTTAATACTTTATTTTCGACTAATTTCATTGCTTTATTTAAAAGTGTAATAAAGTTCTTCCAGTTCTTTGAAAGGAATGATTGGTGAATTTTATCGAGGAAATCAGAGTTGTTACCTTCAGAAAATGTCTTTTTGAATAATGCATCGAATCTGTTCTTTAATGGTAAACATAAAATACGCATTTCTACTGGTTTGAAACCACCAATTAAATCTGAACTATCAGATTGTTGATTGAGATTAAGTACAACTAACTTTTGATTAAGTTGATCGGCAACATATTGAACAACGGATGTCTTACCAGTACCAGTTTCACCAACTAATAAAATTGGTTCATTAAATTGAATTGAAATTGAAATTTTTTCCATAAGACGAAGTGAATTCATAGTGTGGGCAAATACACCATGTTTAGTGACACCAGATTCGGCCTGATCCGATTCAGTAGCGAAACGTGTATGTTTTTTAGATTGAATTTGAATGGCTTCTGATTTCTTACTGCATTCGAGGGATGCACGACCTGTAGTCATAATTTTTTCGGTGATTTGAATGGATGGTTTATATAATTCTACATAGTAATTGATACGATCGGCGGTTAACTCCCAAACTCTACCAATTACTTCAGTTAAAGTTTTTCTAAGATTCTTTTTAGAGATCATCGAACAAAAACAGTCAAGAGCTTCAACAAAAACGATTTCTTGCATTGTTGATGTGACCATTTGGTGTGACAAACCAGTAAATGATAATCTTTCATTACAACGCTTTATCCATTTAATTAAATCACGACTTGAAATAAATCTACTTGATGGTATTATAAACTTGTCACTATTAGCTGCTGAACCTGTTGTAATAGCACCTGAGGCTTCGTCTGATGGTGATACTGCAATTGATTGGTTTGAAATAACTCTTAAGAGCAAATTAAAAGTTTCAATAAACTTTGGTACTAAAGCAACTAATTGTGGGAATAAAGTTGAAAGAACCTGTTTCATTTCGCTTGGTGAAAGTGCTTCAATAACAACTCTAGTCCAAAGATGACTGAGAATATTTGCATTTTGATCACGAGAATGAGTACCAAATAAAGTTTGTGTTGCAAATAATTGGAAACCATTTGAAGCTTCAATGACTTCACCACGACCTGGAATAAAAAGAGTACGATTTTCTAAAAGTGGGATTAAAACTGATAAAACTTCAACAGGTGCCAAATCAATATCCTCAATAAGAATCCATCTACCTTCGCTAACAGCTTGTGTTAATGCACCAGCTTGCCATTTGAACTCACCTGGAGTATCAGATGTGATATAAGTACCTAATAAAACCTTTGAATCAGTTTGATCACCCAAATGAATTCTGATAATATTGTCATTGCCTGTTACTCTTGATAATTCTTCAACCATTGTTGTTTTACCTGAACCGGTAACACCCTCTATTAAAATTGGTTTACCTAAGCCGACCGCAATTGCCAAAGAATTTAAATTTTGTGAAACTGTATTTGTATAAACTAATTTTTGTTCAATTAATTTGTTATGATGCTTTTGATGTGGTTGTTCGAATTTTTTGAATAATAAAATACCACAAACATCGATGATTGTATGATGTAAGTCTTCTTTTTCGATAAAAATATTACGATTGACTTTTTCTTGGTCAATTTCAATAACATCTTCGTTATTTTCATAAACTGTATTATAATTTTGATTTAAAAATAGTCTTGATGATTCTAAATTTAAAATTTCGTTTTCGATTTGAATAATTTGATGGTGATATTGCTTATATAATGGCTTGATGGATTCGAGTTGATTGTCTGGAACATTTAAAACCATTGACATACATTTTATAACATACCATGTTATACGTTGGCTCTTGATCTCCAATAGCGAATATAATGGTGACCAGTTAAATAAAGTTGAAAAAATCTTTCTATTAAATGTGAGTAATCTATAACAACTTTGTACCAATGTTAACCATCTTTCTTCGTTCTCTTCTGATATATTTTTACAATTTAAAATTGATTCAAATAAAATTGAACCATTACTATTATTATTAATTTGATTTATATTGTTTGATTTTTCATAAAATTCAATTATTAAACTATATTATAAAATAATAAAAAAAAATTTTAATAAGTAAAAAATTATTAAATTTAAAAATAGAATTTGTGTTTTTTAAAAATAAAGGGAGGTTTTTTGTGGGGTTTTTGAGTGGGTTTGAAATCAATGATTGTATTAAAAAATATATTTTATAATAACCATTGATTTATAGATATTTCTCAATATTTTTGTTTTGTTTTGTTTTTTACATACCTTTGTAATTGTGGTGTTGTTGGTAATAATTGTGAAAAAATAAAAGTTATATTCTCAATTTCGGGAATATTGATTGCGCTTGATGTTAATTGTTGTTTTTTATTTTTACTTGATTGATGTTTTGGGCTTGCTGCTCTACTTTTACTAGAGTGGATATATCTTGAAACCAAATCGACTAATAATGGTCTGAAAATACTTGATAATAATAATGTGTGTTGTGGTTTTCCCATTAAAATGGTCGAGATTTCATTTAAAATAAATAATTTGTCTTGTGATGTATATTCGTTCTCATTTTTTTTAAATATACCTTCTAAATTTTTAAAGTCTTCATTTGATGATGCTGATGATGACTCTATCTCTGTTTCCAATGCCCTAATAGCTTTAAATAAATTAAATTTAAATTTATACATTTTTAAAAAAATTGATAGAAAAAATTATATAAAAAATTTTAAAAAAAAAAATTATTGTTTATCTGTGTGAGGACAAGTTGTCTATTTGAATTTGTCTTTTTTTTAAACAATATATATTATTGTGGTTTATAATTTGAATGACTTGAAATAATTATTTTATTTCTATTATTGTATAATTACTGTATTATTATATTAAGTAATTAAAAAATAAAATAAAATAAACAAGCAAACAAATAAAAAAAAACAAACAAACAAATGAATGAATGATTCCTTTTTTTCGTTTTTTTGTATTGTATTTCAAGAAAATCGTTTTTTTTTTTCAAAAAAATAAAAAAAATAAAAATATTAATATTTTAATTTTTTTTTTTATTTTTTTTTTTTTTTATTTTTTATTTTTATATTTTTAGTTAATGTTTCGGTTTGTGTATTATTATATGTATGTGATCCTCTTTTCTATCTATACATACATTTAATGTCTATAAATTTAATTAATCGAAATTCATTTTCAAGTTAACACTGATTAGGATTGATGTATAAATATTTTTTGAAGTATTTTTATTATCCACCAAATTTTATTATCAATTATTTTAATTTAAAAATTTTTTTTTTTTTTTTTTTTTTTTTTTTTTTTTTTTTTTTTTTTATTGGATCTGGAATAAAATGTGTTTTAATTTAAAGAATATACAATTATTATTTATTTCATTTTGTCATTTATTTATTTAAAATTTATTTTAAATTTAATTGATTATTCAAAATTTTGGGAATCCATTGAGAAAAAGTAAAGAATGAAACTCAGAGTCTTTTCATCATTTTACAATAATCAAAAAATTGGATAATAAATTTTTTGAAAAAAATGCTCAAAAATAACACATAAAATGATAAATAAAATGATAAATAAAATAACAAATAATTCCAAAAAAAAAAGTAGGTTAAATTAAATAGATTTAAATAAATTAAACCAAATTAAATTAAAATTAATTTTAATCTAAAAATAAAAATAAATTTAAAATAATAAACACATAAAAAAAAAAATAAAAAAAAAAAATGGAAAATAATTTAAATATTTTTATTTTAAAATTTTTTTTTTTTTTTTAAAAATTTTTTTTTTTTTTTTTTTTAATTTTTAAAATTTTTTTTTTTAATTTTATTTTTTATTTTTATTACATAATAACACTCACACACACAATTTATCTCTATTTGTATAAAATCACAACACCTCAACTTTATATAACTAAACTCTAACTAACTTTTTTTTCACCCACAAGAGTTAGTTTTTTTTTTTTTCAAATAATAATTATAATAAATTTTATAAAATAATAGTTTTTTTTATTTTTATTCGATATATTTTTTAGTGTACATTAATTAAATAAATATTATATATAATATATACATATAAGCAATCTTAAATAGTTATAAATATTAGTTTGGTTTATAGATTATATAATTAAAGAAATATACAAATATTAATATAAATAAAGATGTCAACACCAGCTAGACGTAGATTAATGAGAGATTTTAAGAGACTCCAAAATGACCCACCAGCAGGTATCAGTGGTGCTCCTCAAGAAAATAATATTTTAATGTGGCAAGCTGTCATTTTTGGGTATGTATAAAAAAATTAATTTATTACAGCAATGTACCATAAAATCACTTTTTTTTTTTTTATATTTAATGAATATAACTTAAAATAAACAGAAGATTAACGTGTGTTTGTTTTAAAGCTACCACAGTGTTATCACATCTCGATAAAAGTTTATTTTAAATATTACTCACAATTAAGTTGGAAAATAACTAACAGTCTTTTTTTTTTTTTATATTTTAGCCCAGAAGACACTCCATGGGAAGGCGGTACATTCAAATTATCATTACAATTTTCAGAAGAATATCCAAATGATCCACCACAAGTTAGATTTTTATCAAAAATGTTCCATCCAAATGGTATGATTAAAATATATTATTTCTTTCTTTCTTTTAGATTTAAACTAACCAACTTTTTTTAATTTTCTTTTAAATATAGTTTATACTGATGGTGCTATTTGTCTTGATATTTTACAAAATCAATGGAGTCCAATTTATGATATTGCAGCTATTTTAACATCAATTCAATCTTTATTATGTGATCCAAATCCAAATTCCCCAGCAAATTCAGAGTCTGCACGTCTTTTCCGTGAAAATAAAAGAGAATACAATCGTAAAGTAAAAGAAATTGTTGAACAAAGTTGGAATTCTTAAAGCATTTAAAAAAAAAATTATATAAATAAATTATAAATAATAATTAATTATAGCAATGGTAACGATAACAATAAAAATATCTCACCAAAAAAAAAAAAAAAAAAAAAAAAGACTAAATAAAAAATATTTATATAATAAATAGTTTGGAAATCAAATCCTAATTATTAAATTATAACATAAAAAGTTCATAATATTTGGCAAATTATTTTTATATTATTTAAGAAAAATAGATAAAAATTTGTAAAAATACCTACGAAAATCAGATCTATTTTAAACTTTTTCTGTTCAACAAATGAAAAATAAAAAGATAAAAACTTTAAAATAAAAAGTTATTTTTAATAAAATAAAATTTTATTTCTCTTCGGTTTTTGGCAAATTAATTAATTAAAAAAATTATAAATGATTAATAAATTTGTAGCTTTTAATTTTACCAATTATGCATTTCTGCAAAATGAGATAGATTATTATAATTCTCGGTACTATGAGGTTTAAAAAAAAAACCAAAATGATTTCTTTAAAAAGTTAAAATAAATGATAGAAAAAAAAAAATGGTATCACAAACTTTTGTATTTTCTTAAAGAGATTAATAAAATTATAATTTTAAAATTGAAGTGTTATTATATATTTAGGGCTAATTTTATATATGACACTACAAAACTTATAAAAAAATACACCCGAAACAAATTCGTTGTTGACCAACCTAGAAAAGGGAAATTTCTAAATTTATTTTATATAATTGAACAACTGCTATATATTCTAAAACCTAATTGTGTAATTTTGCCCCCTAATGTTGTCCCCAGAAGGTTGTTTTATGGCCATTTTCTTGTGAAGGGTAAATTTAGTACTTTTTGATTAATTTATTTGTCTAAAACATTTAATTAGATTGAAGCAAGCTTTTGAAATTGTAAATTAAATTCTATTAAAATTCCGAACCCAAAAAATGTCAACAGCTTGACAGCTTAGCAAAGTGGTCTAATGCGATTGACTAGAAATCAATTCCCTTCGGGGGCGCAGGTTCGAACCCTGCAGCTGTCGATTATTTTTAAAAAATCATCTTCCCTGTGATTTAAATGGAATATTTGAACACTGTTTAAAAGAAATCAATAAAATTGCAGATTGGTTCCTATCAGCACCTAACAATAAAAGTCCAAATGGTTTTAAAGTCTTCAAATTAATGAGCTCTAAAAGAGCAAATTATCCTATGGATCAAGGAGGTTGGAATCTTTGGAATATCAAAAACAGACAAAAAGCACAAAGATTATGGATGATAAATCAAATAATCAATAAAATTGAAACTAACAAAATAGAATCAGAATATCAACACAGTTGGAAACATCAAATATCAACCAAAACAATAACTTCAGATTACCTATTTAAAAACTACAATGATTGGATACAAATAAAAGTTAAAAAAGGACTACTAGACGGGTTGAAATCCATTAAAAATAAAGACGGCAAACCTCTTTCTTTAGCAGAATGGTATTCGGAAATAAACAATCTCAACAGCTTTACACCCAAAACAGAATTCCAACAATGTCTTCAACTTACAGGTTATAGCTATATCAACCTATTCAATAATATACTTAATATTAAAGATCCAAAATCAAGAAACACTCTATTCAAATTCCAAGCAAGATGCTTACCCATCAACTTCATTCACAACAAACCATGTAGACTATGTAATGAAAATCTTAGTAATGATCCATATGGTCATCTATTTTTCAAATGTAAAAAAACTCTGAAATTCATCAACTTTAATAAACTAAAATCATTTATATTCATTACTTCGGGAAGGGGCCTCAATTGGTCACTGGACATAACAAGATCAAGAAGGAATATATCAATAAAAAATATTACATACAAAATCCCAGAAGGTCGCAAATCCGATGGAGAAATAAATATGGATTACAACAACACCAGATTCCACAAATCACACTTCCAATGGAACTATAAAGCAATAGATTTCGACTTAACTAGATGTTTCGCTTATAGAAATGCCATAGCCCTGGTATTTCATCATGTTTGGATTTGGTTATGTAAAGAATTATATGACGATCAAGAAAATACAATAAAAGAACTCGATTATAAGAATCTAACCTCAAAATGGACTAAACTAGCTACTTTAGAATACTTAAAAGGTTTAAAAAACATCAAGGAAAGACACGCTAAACAACCACAAACAATTAGCAACATCAATGAAGAATATAGAAAATTCAAAAGAAAAATAGCAAGAGCATACTTCATCAGCATCAAATCTTTACCAAATATCAACAGTTTAGAATATTTTCTTTAAATACTTTATAAAAAACATTAAATAAAATTTTACTGATTAATTAAAAGCATTGCTTTTTATTATCTTCACTTTTAAAAAAAAAAAAAAAAAAAAAAAAGTTTAAAAAAGTGTTTGGTAAAAAATATTTTATTTTACTGATTAATTTAAAGTATTTGCTTTTAATTATCTTCACTTTTTAAAAAAAAAATAAAAAAAATTTAAACACTGTAACGTATAAAAAATAGTTTATTTTTGAACACTATTTAAAACGTTTAAAACAGTGTTTGGGAAAAAATAGTTTATATTTGAAAACATTGATTAATTTAAAGCATTTACTTTTAATTATCTTTGCTTTAAAAAAAAAAAAAAAGTTTAAAACTTTTAAAACGTAATTAATTTATATTAAAAAAATAATAATTTATATGGGAACATTGTTTAAAACGTTTAAAACAGTGTTTGGAAATAATAGTTTATACGGGAAAGCTGTTTAAAACAGTGTTTGGAAATAATAATTTATATTTAAAAAAGAAAATTCAAAAGTGCATATTGAAATTTATTTGATACAACAGTTTAAATTGGTTTTTGTATTCTTAAACATTCTAAATATATTTTCTTATAGTCTAGTTTTGAATGTTTGTTGATGTTTCTACTAAAGAAGGTTAGTGATGTTACTCCATTGCTATAGAAAGTGGAGCGGAATACTTCCAAAGCTAAAGAAATATGGTCATTATAAAAGATAAGTTTTACTAAGGTTTTATTATAGAATTTGTTTTCCCAGTCGAAATATTCTACTACTCTATGGTCGCCAAGCTTTACAAAAGATTTAACGAGAATTTGTCTATTTTCAGCTACCTTTTGGAGGAGGATATTACTAGAGTCGAATAGTTTTCCCAAAGATTTGAAATCACCACTTGAGGCAATGGCCTCTATTACTAGCTTGATATCTGGAATAAGTTTGGACTGGTAAAAGAAATCAAGGTTGTTGGAATAGTATTGCAATAAAACTAACTCTGGTTTGCTAATTTGGCATCTTCCATTTTCAATATCATTTGATCTTTCCTTAAAAAGCCATGAATAAAAATTTGCAATCGGCATATTAATAGCATCATTGGAATGATTAACCATCTCTATAGGTTTATAGGATTCTTTTGTATTTTCGATTAGGTATTTTATTATTTCGATATCTTTTGAGGTTGTAAATCTTTCTACATTATTGTTTTTGCAATAGTTGGTTTGTAGAATTGTATCCTTTATTGCTGATAAACTAATTTCAAACTGATCTTTTCTTTGTAATGAATATTTAATGGCTGAAAGATAGTTTTCATATTGCTTTGATGATAGTTTAAAACCACAATCTTTTAATGATAAAAACTTTAACTTTTCATTTAATTTGTTTATATATAGTGATAATAAATCCAATCTACCATTGAAATACCAAGTTTGATAATTAAATAATTCTTTGCTAACTGTATTATTGTAATTATTATTATTAAATAAATCTAATAAACAAATTAAAGCTGGTGAAGATTTAATATATAAAAAAAGATTTTTATAATTATTTTCAATTGACGTGATTGTTTTGTAACTATTGTTATTATTGCTACTATTTATTATTAAATCTTTAAAAATTTTAAAAGACTCATTTATTAAAGTTGTGTTATCAGTTGGTATTATTAAAGAAAAGATAAAATTTGCATTGATTTTATGGGTTGGTTTAATTGATTCGTTTATAATTAAATTATAACAGTTATTTAAAAATTGAATTTGATTTTCAAAGTTGTTACAGTATTTAAACAAAATTGAATTTTCCTTTGCGAGTTCTTCCTGTATTGTTGAGATAATAGAGTTAGCCGGTTCTTTATCGTTTGTTCTTATTAAGTATTCATTTAATAATTCAAATTTGCCATATTTAAATGAATTTAAAAATAAATTTTTATTGATTGGAAACAAATTATTATTACTATTGCTATTATTATTATTATTATTTAATATTGTTGTAAAATCAATTTTTTGAAAATCATCATTGCCAAATATGGAATAGTAACCAATATTTCTTTTATATAAAATTGATAGTTTACCAGCTTCTAAATAAGCTCTGACCAGCTTTAAAACCTTTTGGTTGAAATTATCTTTTAAATTTATTTCATTTATAGTTTGATTTAACTCATATGTTGAAAATACCATTTCATTTAGTTCTTCTTTTGATAGTAAATAATTGATTCTTAAAACCCCTCCGCCATTTTTTTTTATAATTTCTATGCACTCCTTTTCATGATTATAAAAATTTAGAGATTGAATTGTTTTGCATGCTTCAAAAAGCCATTTAACTTTAAAATTTAATTCAAATGGATCGTGAGAGAAAAGAGTGCCCATTAAATCTCTCCAACTTTGTGGCGAAAAGAATTTGAAGTTTTGTGTTGGTGGTGGAATACTAATATCATTTATTACAGAGTTTAAAAATTTGAAATATCTGCTTGAAATTTTTGCCCAATTCAATTTGTTTACAAATTCAAAATATGGATTGTTAGTGAGTGATTTATTATTGTTATTATTGCTGTTGCTGTTATTGGCGATATCTTGATTTATTAGTTGTTGTTCTAATAAAATAATGGCTCTGTCTTTACTTATTACATTCATAATTGAATTCCACACTATTTCTGATGTTAAAATTCTTGTATCATTATTATTAAATTGGGGATTTTGCTTTCTGCTGGAAGTACCATAGACAGTTTGTGGGTCTTTGTTATTGTTAAAGTTGGTTTCTTTTTGCTTTTGCTCTTTTAAATAGTTGATATTGTTACGAGGATGGTTATAGAATTTCTTGAGGATGAAATTTGAAACTTTAATACTGTGATAGTCTAACAAATATTTGTCAAATTGTATAGCTATCATATCGATGGAGTAGAGTCTGCACTGCTCGATAATGTTTTCGTACGATTTATAGAGACTGGTAATTGCTACTAAATTATCATTTTCATAAATTGCATCTAATAACTTTTCAAAATCGTATTGGATATACAGATTTAAATTATTTACAAATAGGTTTCTATAAAATTTATGGTCTTTGATTTTTGATGAAATAGCTGAAAATAATTTTTTGTGTTTATAAATCCTTCTTTTATCCCCTTTGGTGTTGAAAAGTAAAAATTTTGATGATAAAACTCTATATTTTAAAACCTCAATTAAATTATTATCTATTAAATAGTCCATAGAATGTAGTGGAATACATGTATATTCACATCTAAATTTTTTGATTCTTATAAAGTCGAATATGGCGTTGAATAAAAAATAATTTCTAAACACTGACCAAAATAACTTTTCATTTTGGTCATTATTATCTATATTATTATTATTATTATTATTATAATTGTTGTTTTTGTTGCTATTATCTATATTATTATCTATTTTATTCATTGTTTTTTTATTAAATTATATAAAAAAAAAAATTTTAAAAAAAATTTTAAAAAAAAAAAATTTTAATTTAAAAAAACAAAACTGTGTTTTAATCAATTATAATAATTAATAGTTTTAAATAATCAATCAATAAATTAAAAAAAAATAAAATATAAATTTTCATTTTATTTAAATTTAAAAAGATTATCATAAAAGTAATAAAAAATATATGAATCCATTAATTTTTTGAAAACTATTTTTTTCGGATTAATTTTATGTCATACTAGATTAATTATAATTATAATAAAATCATATGATATGTTTTTTGATTCTAAAAATAAGAGTTGGATTTATAAAAACCATTTTTAAAATAAATAAACTCAAATCCAAAGAATAATATTTCACCAAACCATCAAAAAAAAAATAAAAACTTTAAACATTGTAATAAAATAATAAATATCAGTATCAATAAAAAACATTATTTTTCCCTAATCTTAATATTTTTTTTAAAAAATTTTTTTAAAAAAAAAAAAAAAAGTAATAGTTGTGTGTTATTAGTATTTTTTAAGAATCTTCTATATTCTTTTTATGGAAATACAAATTCAGAATCTATCAAAATACCAAAATTATTTTGATTTTCCATAGTGTTAACATCAAAAAAATAAAAAAAATAAAAAAAAAACATTTTTTGTTTTATTTTATTTTATTTTATTTTTTTTTATTTTATTTTCGTAAAAATGATTTTTTTTATTTTCCTTTTTTTTTTTTTTTTTTTTTTATTTAATTAAACATAATAACACTTAATATAATAAAATAACAATAGTTTTATTTATTATTAATTTGTCAAATATAAAATTTTTATTCGAGTTTTTATAAAACTTCATTTTTTTTGACAAATTAATTTTTATTAATTTTTTATAAATAATAATAATAACTTGTTATATAATTTAAATATATATAATTTAATATTATTTTATTTTATTTTTGTAAATATCAGTTTACTTTTCACATAAAAAACAAACATGTTGAAATTAGCTGATATCACTGCTTTATTCAAATCCAGTGCTAATTATCAAATTAGCCAACTCGATCCACAACCAGCAAATTTTATTGAATATGGCTGGGCTTGGATTCTTCAAAGGTTAGTTTAAAATAATTATAGTTTAAATGGTTTATTTAATTCCTAAATTCTAATTTTTTATTTTTTTTTAGTTATGGAGAGTTTGGTTTATTCTTAATTTTTTATACTGCAATGGCTGTTTTGTATGCAATTGGTGGCTTTATTTTTTATCTTTTTGATAAATATAAACTTTTCCCAAAAAGAAAATTACAAGTTACTGTAAGTTTATTTAAAAAGAAAAAGAAAAGAATAAAAAATCAATTATTAATATTAATAATATTATTTTATTAGAAATATCCATCATCTTCAGATATCAAAAAATGTATTGAAAATTTAGTCACCAATTATATTTTAGTTATCTTACCATTGGGTGTATTATCCTTCCCAATGACCAAATATTTAGGAATGACTTATACCCTCCCATTACCACCATTGTAAGTTGATATATTTACAAAAAAAAAAAAAAAAAAAAAAACAAATAATTAATAATTACAAATTTTTCATATATCCTAGTTGGAGATTTTGTTTAGATATTTTCCTTTGCTTACTTGGTGAAGATTTCTTCCAATATTGGATGCACAGAGGTTTCCACTACCCATGGTTCTATAAGAATGTACATAAAGAACATCATTATTATTCAGCACCATTTGGTTTTACAGCATCATATGCCCATCCAGTCGAAGTTGTCTTTTTAGGATTTGCAACCTTTGCCCCTGCTTTAATGATCAGACCACATTTCTTCACTTTTTATTCTTGGTTCATTATTCGTCAATTAGATGCAGTTCTTACTCATAGTGGCTATGATTTAGAATTATTCCCATTAAACCACATGCCATATTGGGGTGGTACATCATTCCACGATTATCATCATAAAGAATTTACCTGTAATTATGCCTCAAGATTTACTTTCTTAGATAAAATGTTTGGAACATATAAGGAAAAACCAACTTCAAGTGGCGCACCAAAACTTGTAAAATCAGAAAAATCAAAATAAATTATTTTTAAATGGGTGTTTTTAAAAACAACCAATTAAAAATCATTCTAATAAAAAAATTAAAAAAGTTTATTTATTTGTGTGTTATTTTATATTTTTAAAAAAATATAAAAAAAAAAAAATTAAAAAATTTTAAATTTTAAAATTTTTTTTTTAAAATCATCATTATTTTTTTTTTCTTTACTTCATTTAAATTAATTAAAATAAAATAAATACAAATAAACAATGGCTAAAAATAAAATTGTGTTTGTTACTGTTGGTACAACTAAATTTGATGATTTAATAGATAAAGTTGATACACCAAAATTCTTTAATTTGTTAAAAGAACTTGGTTATAACAAATTAATTATTCAAATAGGTAATTACACTAAAGAAATTGAAAATTCAGTACCATTAACTAAAGAAATCGAAGATTCATTATTTGGTAAATCATCATCAACTTTTGATTCATATTATTTCGATTACAGACCATCACTTTCAGATTATATGAAAAATGCAGACTTGATTGTATCACATGCAGGTAATTATTATTATTATCATTTTTACAATATACAATTAAAAACCCACCCGTAGTTTTAATAATAATAACAATTACGATAATAATATAGGTTCAGGATCGATTGTAGAATCATTAGAAAATAATAAACCATGTTTATGTGTAGTTAATGATAAATTAATGCATAATCACCAAGTTGAGCTAGCAGATAAATTATCAGAACTTTGTTATATTTTATCAAGTACACCTGATTCATTATACGAAAATTTCGAAAATGGTAAATTGGTAGAATACATTAACAATAGAGAGCATTTAGACCCAAGTATTTTAAATAAATCACAAAAATTATTTGCAAATTCATTAAAAAGCGAATTTAATATAAAAGGAGATCAAACAAATAATAATAAATCATTAAAAACAATGGTAGTTTTAGGTTCTGGCGGTCATACTACTGAAATGTTTTATTTATTAAAAAATGTCGATAGATCTAGATTCAATCCATTTGTTTATGTTTTAGCAGACAATGATAAAAGATCAGAGGATAAAATATTTATTGAAGAAAGCAATTATAGAAAGAATGACGATAAAGAGTCATCATCAAATAAACAACCAAAGCCAATAATTAAAAAGATCCCAAGAAGTAGAAATGTTGGACAATCATATATTCATAGTATTTTTACAACTGTGAGTATAAAATAATATAAAAGTGAAAAAAAGTTATAGTTACCAATACTAATATCAATTTTTAAATCTAAAAAAACAATAGTTAATCGCATTATTTTATTCAATGTTATTAATATTTAAAGAAAGACCAGATGTTTTAATATGTAATGGACCAGGTACCTGTGTACCATTATGCCTTGCTGTTAAAATACTCACTTGGTTACGTATAAAGAAATCAAAGGTTGTTTATATTGAAAGTTTAGCAAGAGTCAAAGATCTATCACTATCAGGTAAAATATTACAACATTTATCAGATTGGACCGTGGTTCAATGGCCCGAATTAATCGAAAAACTAATAACTTCAAAAAATGTTGCTTGTATAAATTTATTTTTTAAAACTTTTTAATTAAAAAAAAAGAAAAAACAAATAAATAGAGTTTTTTATTTATTTTATTTTATGAATAAAAATAATACATTTTTATGAATATTATTATTATTTATATTTTATTTATGTTACATTTATTTTATTATTTAATTTATTTGGTAAAAAAACTAAAAGCTGAGGTTAGCATTGATTGACCAAATGGTATATAGGATAATGAATACCAAATTACAGTGATAAATTGAAGAATTACAAAGAATAAGGTTAATAATGTTGATTGAAGAATGATTGCAAAATAAATAGTTGCAAAAATTGAACTAAGATATAGTCCTGTTGATAACATTCTTTCTCTTGATGACATTATATTTTGAATTTGTTTTTTAACTCCCACTAAAACTATTAATCCGATAATAATTGATAAACTACCCAATGAATAAAATTTTGCAAATTGTCTTGGAATAAATAGTACAAAAGTTGACTAGAAGATATTTATATATAATGAAATTAATATTTTATAACATTTTTATTATTATCATTATTGTTATTATTAATATTATGAACATACCATGCCTAAAAAAAAGATACCGATAACTATAAAAACCACAAATGCAATTAATCTTTGGAAATAAGATAATGATGAAGATTCTTGTAGTTCTTGATAAAAAGTTTTTGATTCCGCTGGTGAAGGAGTACCACCTAATTTTGACGGTATATTGGATTTAATTTTGTTTAGAAATCCATCACCTGTGCTTCCTATATCATTCCAATACTGATTTGTTTGTGTTGATATATTCCCAAAAAAACCTTCATTAGTTTTAAATTGTAAATTTTCGAATTGGTTCGATTCCATTTTGTTGATATTGTTTTTTTATTTATTATATTCGAATATATAAATAAATAATAAAATAAAAAAAATAAAAAACTATTTTATAAAATTAAAAAAAAATAAATAAAAAAAAAAATAAAATTAATTTAAAAATAATTTTTTTTAAATTTTTAAAAAATTATTTTTTTTTACTAAGACTAACTTTTCCATTTATATATCTCTAAAGAAAAGTTTAAAATAATGAATTATATTAATAAAAAATAAAATAAAAAAAATATTAAAAAAATATTAATATTAAAAAAAAAAAGGCATAAAAAATAGAACCTTAATGGGAAAAAACTTTAAAATTATTGTGTGGGAGCTACCCATAATGCAAAAATTAGGTTATCAATGATCCTAAAACCTCAATTGATAGGTAAGTGAATTTTATAAGGTCTTTTAAATTATTATTTGAAAGATTGTATTTCTTAAATGAGTTTTTAATAGGAAAAATAATAAATAGGGTGATTTTTTTATTTTTTATTGAATCGTAATTATAGACATAGTATAATTTTAGAAATCGTAGAAAAATATAACAATATGTTGAAAGTTTCATCTCACACACTATAAACACTCACATTGTTTTTTTATAACAAAAATCACACACATTGATATCATTATTGTTGTTATTGTTTGGGTTATTGTGTCAAAAACAACCATAATAAAAATAAAAATGTGCACTATTGTTTGAATAGACAGAAGCTAAAAATAACATGACGGAATAAAATGAGATTAACACTTAGTGTTGTTACTTTCTTTTTTGTTTTAACCCACTTTAACACAACTCTCCATGTAAAAAATATTTTTTATTATTATTTTTATGATTTTATTTGTGTTTTTTATTAAAGCCATCGATTTTTAATGATTATATTAATTTTTGAAATTTATATAAATAGTTTGGAAAACAAATTATATTTTTTGTAGAGAGTTTTTTAATAACAATAGTATGAAATAGGACATCCTTTATTAGCTTTTAATTCACACACATACCCCATAACACACAACCACCATTTTTTTTTTTTATTTTTTTATTTTTTTATTTTTTTATTTTTATTTTTTTATTAATTTCAAAAATCATTGTTTCCATATTTTTTTTCTAAATTTGTTTTTTTGAGTTTTTATTATAATAAAATATTGTCTTTCTCCTATCAAATAATAATAATAACAATAATTATGAAATCTAATATTGCTCTATTTTTAATTATTTCAATATTGTTTATTTCAATATCAAACGCTTTAGTAAGTATAATTTTAATTTTTTTTTTTTATTTATATAAGGAGTTTCATTAATAGCTTAAAATTTTATTTATAGAATTGCCAAAAAAAAGAGGATTGCATTGAGAGTAATTGTGTAAAATTGGCTGATGGTGGTCTTAACTTTTGCCTTTTATCATCAAAACTAGGTTTACCATGCAGCACTAAAGTAGATGAAAATGGGGTATATGTCAATGGTCTCCCTCCATGTGGCGGATCTTTGAAATGTATAGAAAATGAAACTGGTAAAGGAAAATGCGAGGATTTACTCGTCTTTGATGGAAATTAGCTCAAAAGAATAAAAAATAAAATTATTAGAAAATAAGAAATATATTTAATTTATTAATACAAAAGTTAAATATTAACCTATACAATATATAATTTATAATTTATAATTTTTGCTATTATTAGAAACACTTAAAAAAATAAAAAATAAAAAAAAAAGTTGATTCTATTTTTAAATTAATTTATTTCTTTATATGATAAAAATAATAATTATATTTGGAACAAAATAATAGTTACTCACCAACCTCCCCCACTACCCTAACACATACACACATACATACATACATAAAAATACATGCATACATACACACACAAAAAATTAAAATTAAAAAACAATTTATTTTTATTTTTTTGTTTTTATTTTTTTTTTTAAAATTTAATTTAATTTTTTTTATTTTTGGGTATATTATTATATAAAGCATATTCAAAAATCCAATAAAGTAGTATAAATTTCTATTCCTATATATTTTAAAAAATACAAAAAATAAAAATAAATAAAATAAAAAACAATAAAAAAAAAAAATAAAAAAAAAAATGAAATTGTATTATTTCATTTTATTATTAATTGTTATTTCTATAGCCAGTTTTTCAAACGGTCAGATTGTAAGTATATTCCCCCAGAGTTATTATAATCATAATATTTAACATAGTCTTAATATATATATTTTTTTTAAATATTTAATAAAAATTAGTTGTGTTCAAGTCAAAGTGATTGTGATAATCCAAAAACTTATTGTGTAACATTAGGCATCTTTCCAATAGCTACCTGTCTTCATGCATCTCGGGTCAATCATATATGCAGTCATACTATAAATGAAAATGGTATATATATAGGTAGTTCTCCATGTGATCAAGAGTCGGAATGTAAAATTGATGATATACTTGGATTTCATTTATGTAAAAAACTTACAAGCAGTAAATAGTAATAAACCAAAAAAAAAAAAAAAAAACGAAACAATAAAAAAGATAAAAAAAAAAATAATTGGTATTAAAAATAAAAATAATTTGTTGGTATTAGTAAAATAAAAAAAACATAAATAAATATAAATTTAAAAAATTCTTTTAATTTTATTTTTATTTTTTTTCGAGTTTAAATAAAAAATCACACCAAAATTACAAAAATAAAAACAATAATATTAAAAATCTTAAAAATATCTGAATCACTCCACAAAAAAAAAATATTTAAAAAAAATTTTAAATTTTTTTAAAAAAAGGCATTTTATGGTTTTTTTTTGTTTTTGTTTTTTTAAAAAAACTCGTTGTAATATTATAACAACGTTTATAAATGAAAATTTTTTTATATTTAATTCTAATACTTTTGGTATTTAATGATACGATTGTAAAATCAGATGATTTATCATGTTTATCTAAAATAATAATTGATTTGTTTGGTCCCATCTCTGGTGTCTCAATATGTTCCACTTTAACAATAAATGGTATTGCTACTGTCCGAACAGACTGTGTAAATAATGAAGTTAGTTATTTGTAATATTTATTTTAAAAAATACACCTTGTATATAATTAGATAAATACTAATGTTAAAATTTAAAATATTTAGATTCATTTCCTCAACACAAGTTCTTGACAATTATTTAAAACAAGAAAATTTTAATTGCTTTTCAAATATTTTAAAATCAATGTATGAATATCATAAAATAGATATCTCTTATATATATTTATGGATTAATACAATTATACTTATACATACATTTATTTTATATATATAAAAAAATAAAGAGTTTTAGAAAATTTAAATATAGATTCAGTAAACCCATTTGGAAATACATTAGAACGTGGTGTTACAGAAATGATTGATTTAAGAAATTGTTTTTTTAGTGATGGTGAAAATCCATTGGTAACATCAGGAACCAGCTTACCAACCGTTACCACTTCATTATATATACAAAATGACCGTAATTCAATCAAAAAAATGAAATTTATGTCATTTAGATATGTTAAAAATATGTAAGTAATATAATCATTTTTGTTTTTTATGGGATATATTTTAATTTTGTTTTTTCTTTTTTTATTTCAATATTATAGTTATTATGGTTATTTTACACTGCCCAACGATGCCTTCACACAGTTTGTGAACGATTTGCCAGACATAGATCCAGCACAAATTTTTTATACTTTGTAAGTTTAATTACAATAAATTTATTTTGAACTCATTATTAACTTTATCTTTATATCAAATAGCGATATAGCCACAAACAATGTCCCAAATTTTTATAATATCAATGTTAATGAACTACGAGTATGGTTGATAGATAAAGATTCAACATTATCATTAGAAAATTTGAATACACTAAACAAAGTGGTCACTTTTCAAATAAAATTTGATGGAGAAATGGATTTTCCCATTCCTTTGGGATCATCAAATAATAGGTATGAATCTTTGAAAATATTTGGCTCCTTTAAAGTTGTTGACAAAAGTGGTTATGAACTCCCAGATAGTTGTTTATACTATTACCAATTCAAAGAATCTCCAAATTTTAATATCAACGGAAAACTTCCTTTTAAAAAATATCCAAAGAATTTAACTACACTTAGTATCTATGCATCTGGTTTAACCATATTCCCAACCGATCTACCAAATACCATTGAAGCATTGTAAGTAGTTTAAAAAATTAAAAGATAGGAACATTTATAATTGTTTTATTAATATCATCATTATTTTAGGGATATTAAAAACAATTTTCTATCAAACAATGGTGAATTACCAGACCTTTCGATGTATCCTTTACTTAATTACCTTTATCTATACAACACTGGGTTCTCAGGATCAATACCAGAATCTTATTGCTCTCTTCTATGTAGTTTTCCATTTAATAATCTTACTGGTACATGGCCTCAATGTAAAGTATGTTATGAAAGTGATTTTTTTACCAGTTTTGATAACAATCCTTTGTTACAAAAAGGTGTTTGTGGTAAGTATTTTATTATTATTATTATTGTTAGAAAATCTTTGTTTTTTATTACTTAATTATAATATAAATTTAATAATTTTAGATACTGGCTCTCTTGTCCCAAGTTTAAAAATAGTTGGTATATCAGGCAATAAATATCTTTTTTTAACTGGTAATAATTTAGGATTAAGTGGTCCACACATACAAAAATATAATTTATATTTTAGTGTTGGTGTGAAACAGTCTGAATATAATTTATTATGGTCTCCATCATACGGAGAAATACCAGAAACTATTGTGGTAACAATTGGTCCAAGAGATTTTAAACTAGCTACAATAGATTTAACACCAATTTTTATTAATATTTCGGGATCCGGTAACGAATATAATATAACAGGTTCGAACTTCTCTTATAATAAAGCTGATTTTAAAGTTATGTTTGAAAATATTGAAGGTACAATCAAATATATTGATTTCAATACCATTACAGTTCAATTTGATAACCCAGAAGATTTACCAAATGGAGATGCTATTCCTGCAAAAATTATAAATATAAAATCAAATCTCTCTGTTGATTTTAATGTCAAAATAAATATTTTTAAACATTGTACATCAGATTGTGGTGCTTCTAGTGGAAAAGGTTCATGTGATTCTAAAGTTGGCAAATGTATTTGTATTCAAAAATGGACAGGCGATACATGCAGTACTCCAAATCAGTTTTTAACATCAGCATCATCAACATCAACCAAAGGAGGTGTAGTAAATTTATATGGTTGGTTCGGAACACCAAATGCCGGTTTAAAAATATATATCGATGGATCAGAATGTAAACCTATTCACACCATTTCAGAAACATTTGTAAACTGTACAATTGGCGCAGGATCAGGTACAAAATCAATTAAAATTGTTCAAAATAATAAAGAGTGGATCGGTAATAATATGTTCCATTATAATGAAGATAACTATAGTTGTCCAAAAGATTGCTCACTAAACGGTATTTTAAATGGAGATTGTAACAAGTCAACAGGCCAATGTAAATGCTACTCTGGATGGGGTGGATTCGATTGTAATTCAAAAACAACAACAGAAAATCCTTCAACAACCGGCAGTACAACAACAACACCATCACCAACTAATCCACCTGAAATTGAAATTCCCAAATCAAACACAACAGTTAACGAAAGTACAGGTTCAACAGTTATCACCAATCAACAAACACTATATGAAATATCAATTATATCATTAGTCGAGTTAGATGTATTAGACAATGTTGTTTTAACCTATAATCTAACAAACAAATGGGTTATTGACAATAATATTACAAATAACAATATTCATATATTTAAACAAAATATTACAGATAATTGCAACATTACATATACCATTGAAGATATAAAAGAACAAAGAGATTACGAATTTGCAGGATTACAATTAACATTAGATAAAGATTCAATTAAAATAACAGTTTCAATTCACAACTATCCATTTACAGGTTCTTTAAATAAACTACAGCTCAGAATAGAATCATCAGTAGATGACATTAACGAAAACATAAATAACCAATGTAATAATAAAGAAACATCAATAGATTCAGAACTATTAAACAGCAACCAATTATTAAACTATATTACAATTTCAAAAAATCAAAAAGTATTAAATGGTAGATTTATCAATAGAGTTTTAAGCGATAACAGACAATCATTTATTACAACATCATTAATATCAAACACAACAACACCAACAAACTCAACACAAAATAATAAAAATAAACAATCATTTATTATTGGAATAAATTTACCATACTTTACAGAATCATTAACAATTGATCCAGACTTTTCAGTATTAGTATCACCATCATTCAAGAAATGCTCGAACTCAGGACGTGCAAGTTGGGTGTTACCAGTTGCAATCGTTGTACCATGTGTTGCAGTAATTACAATCTTTATTATTGGTGCCATTGTTTACAATAAAAACCGTGCTTCTGTTTTGATAATCAAAAAAAAATTTTCATTTAAAAAGAACCACAATTTATACATGCCAAATGGAGATGAAAATGAATTAAAAAAATTTTAATAAAACCATAAATAAAATTTAATAAGAACCATCTTGGCTTTTTTTTTTTTTTTAAAAATTAATAATCAATATTTTTTTCACTTACACACAATAACTGCACTTGATCATAATAAAAATCTTAAAAATATCCCAATCACTCCACAAAAAAAAATTTCAATTTTTAAAATAAAAATAAAAAGATACATTTTTTAAAAAAAAAAAGGAATTTTTATAAGTTTTTTTTTTTTTTTTTTTAAAAACTTCAAATAACAACAACCTTTATAAATGAAAAAGTTTATATTTTTATATTTAATTTTAACACTTTTTATGTTTTATGGTAGAATTGTAAAATCAGATGATTTGGAATGTTTATCTAAAATAATAACTGATGTGTTTGGTCCCAATTCTGTCTCAATATGTTCCACTTTTACAATAAATAATATTGCAACTGTCCAAACAGGTTGTATAGATAATAAAATTAATTCTTTGTAATATATATTTTATAAAAATGATACATATATAATTAGACAAATACTAATGTTTAAATTAAAAAATATTTAGATTCATTTCCTCAACAGAAGTTGTTTATTATAATTTAAAACGGGAAAATTTTAATTGCTTTTCAAATATTTTAACCATATTGTATGAATGTGATTATAAAATAGATATTTCTATTTCCTTTATATTTATACTTTTATATTTATATTAAATTATATAAATTATATAATATATAAAAAAAATACAGAACATTACAAAATTTAAATATAGATTCAGTAAACCCATTTGGAAACACAGTAGAACGTGGTGTTGCAGCCAGTATTGAACTAAGAAATTGTTTTTTTAGTGATGGTGAAAATCCATTGGTAACATCAGGAACCAGCTTACCAACCGTTACCACTTCATTGTTTATAACAAATGACCGTAATTCAATCAAAAAAATGAATTTTTTGTCATTTAGATATGTTAAAAATCTGTAAGTAATTTTTTTTGTTTTTTTATGGGATATATTTTAATTTTGTTTTTTATTTCTTTTTTTATTTCAATATAATAGTAATTATGGTTATGATCAACTACCCAACAATGCCTTCACACAATTTGTGAACGATTTGACAAACATAGATCCAGCACCTATTTTTGTTTTTGATAAGTTGTAAGTTTAAATTCAAAAGAATATTTATTTTGAACTCATTATTAACTTTATCCTAATACTAAATAGACAAATAGCCACAAATAATGTCCCAGATTTTTATAATATCCCAGTTATAGAATTACAATTATGGTTGATAGATAAAGATTCATCATTATCAAAGTCATCATTAGAAAATTTGGATACACTTAATAAAGTAGGCACTTTTAAAATAACATTTGATGGAGAAATGGATTTCCCCATTTCTTTGGGATCATCAGTTAATAAGTATAAGTCTTTGCAAATACAGGGTTCCTTTAAAGTTGGTGACCCAGGTGGTTATGAACTCCCCGATAGTTGTATACACTATCACCAATTCGTAGATTCCCCAAATTTTAATATCAACGGAAAACTTCCTTTTAAAAAATATCCAAAGAGTTTAATTGCACTTGTTATCCATGGATCTGGTTTAACCATATTCCCAACTGATCTACCAAATACCATTGAAACATTGTAAGTAGTTTTAAAAATTTAAAAGATAGAAACATTTATAATTGTTTTATTAATATCATCATTATTTTTAGGGATATTAAAAACAATTTTCTATCAAACAATTATGAATTACCAGACCTTTCGATGTATCCTTTACTTAAGAACCTTTATTTAACTAACAATGGGTTTACGGGATCAATACCAGAATCTTATTGCTCTTTTCATTGCTATTTGAAATCTAATAATCTTATTGGTACATGGCCTCAATGTAAAGTATGTTATGAAAGTGAGTTTGCCTCCGATTTTGATAACAATCCTTTGTTACAAAAAGGTGTTTGTGGTAAGTTTTTTATTATTATTGTTGTTATTATTACTATTATTATTTTTATGTTTTTAATATTTAATTATAATATATTTAATAATTTTAGATACTGGCTCTCTTGTCCCAAATTTAGAAATAGTTGTTATATCAGGCAATAAATATCTTTTGTTAACTGGTAATAATTTAGGATTAAGTGGTCCACAGATCAAATTATATGATTTATATTTTAGTGTTGGTGTGAAACAGTCTGAATATAATTTATTATGGTCTCCATCAAACGGAGAAATACCAGAAACTGTTGTGGTAACAATTGGTCCAAGAGATTTTAAACTAGCTACAATAGATTTAACACCAATTTTTATTAATATTTCGGGCTCCGGTAACGAATATAATATAACAGGTTCGAACTTCTCTTATAATAAAGCTGATTTTAAAGTTAAGTTTGAAAATATTGAAGGTACAATCAAATATATTGATTTCAATACCATTACAGTTCAATTTGATAACCCAGAAAATTTACCAAATGGAGATGCTATTCCTGCAAAAATTATAAATATAAAATCGAATCTCTCTGTTGATTTTAATGTCAAAATAAATATAAATAATCCTTGTACATCAGATTGTGGTGCTTCTAGTGGAAAAGGTTCTTGTGATTCTAAAGTTGGCAAATGTATTTGTATTCAAAAATGGACAGGCGATACATGCAGTACTCCAAATCAGTTTTTAACATCAGCATCATCAACATCAACCAAAGGAGGTGTAGTAAATTTGTATGGTTGGTTCGGAACACCAAACGTAGGTTTAAAAATATATATCGATGGAGCAGAATGTAAACCTATTCACACCATTTCAGAAACATTTGTAAACTGTACAATTGGCGCAGGATCAGGTACAAAATCAATTAAAATTGTTCAAAATAATAAAGAGTGGATCGGTAATAATATGTTCCATTATAATGAAGATAACTATAGTTGTCCAAAAGATTGCTCACTAAACGGTATTTTAAATGGAGATTGTAACAAGTCAACAGGTCAATGTAAATGTTACTCTGGATGGGGTGGATTCGATTGTAATTCAAAAACAACAACAGAAAATCCTTCAACAACTGGCAGTACAACAACAACACCATCACCAACTAATCCACCTGAAATTGAAATTCCCAAATCAAACACAACAGTTAACGAAAGTACAGGTTCAACAGTTATCACCAATCAACAAACACTATATGAAATATCAATTATATCATTAGTCGAGTTAGATGTATTAGACAATGTTGTTTTAACTTATAATCTAACAAACAAATGGGTTATTGACAACAATATTACAAATAACAATATTCATATATTTAAACAAAATATTACAGATATTTGTAACATTACATATACCGTTGAAGATATAAAAGAACAAAGAGATTACGAATTTGCAGGATTACAATTAACATTAGATAAAGACTCAATTAAAATAACAGTTTCAATCCACAACTATCCATTTACAGGTTCTTTAAATAAACTACAGCTTAGAATAGAATCATCAGTAGATGACATTAACGAAAACATAAATAACCAATGTAATAATAAAGAAACATCAATAGATTCAGAACTATTAAACAGCAACCAATTATTAAACTATATTACAATTTCAAAAAATCAAAAAGTATTAAATGGTAGATTTATCAATAGAGTATTAAGCGATAACAGACAATCATTTATTACAACATCATTAATATCAAATACAACAATACCAACACAAACAAACTCAACACAAAATAATAAAAATAAACAATCATTTATTATTGGAATAAATTTACCATACTTTACAGAATCATTAACAATTGATCCAGACTTTTCAGTATTAGTATCACCATCATTCAAGAAATGCTCGAACTCAGGACGTGCAAGTTGGGTGTTACCAGTTGCAATCGTTGTACCATGTGTTGCAGTAGTTACAATCCTTATTGTTGGTGCCATTGTTTACAATAAAAACCGTACATCGGTTTTAATAATTAAAAAAAAATTTTCATTTAAAAAGAACCACAATTTATACATGCCAAATGGAGATGAAAATGAATTAAAAAAATTTTAATCAAACTATTAATAAAATTTAATAGGAGCCATCTTGGCTTTTTTTAAAAAAAACTAACAACCAATATCAATTTCACTTACACTCAATAACTGCACTTAATTAATTCCTTAAACAAAATTAATAAACAATTTGTCATGTAATAATATTTATAATTTATTATTTATAATTTATAATTTATTATATTTTCTAACCACTAATAAAAAGTTAAATTATTAATTCTCTTGTTTAATTTTAAAATTATAGTTGATTTTATAGATCGTTATCAGTTTCATGGGGCAGATCTTTTTAAAAATATTGTTGGTTTAGATTTTAATGATTTATTATTACTTGGGAGTAAAGTAAAATATTTGTATTTGAATTTAGATAGAAATGGAAATTTAATAAAAAATGGTAGAAGAAATTCTGTGACCGAAAATTATTTTGAACTATTATACTCAAATAAAATTTTGATCTAATTTTATCTTTTAAATTTCCCTGTTAGCGCAATGAAAAAAAACATAAATAAATATATTAATTCTATAGCTTCTTTGGAACATAATTATTCCATTGAATTTTTTAAAAAAAAATAAAATAAAAATAAAAATGATTTTTTCGGATTAAAAAAAATTTAAAACAAAAAAAATATTCACTTAGTTTCATAAAAATTAAATTTTTATATTTTTATTCATTCAATTAATTATGAGAAAAATCTTAAAAATATCCAAATCACTCCAAAAAAAAAATTTCAAATTTTTGAAATAAAAATAAAAAGGTCGAAAAAAAAAAAAAAAAAAGGAATTTTTAATATTTTTTTTTTTTTTGTTTTTGTTTTTTTAAAAACCTCGAATAACAACAACGTTTAAAAATGAAAAAATTTATATTTTTAATTTTAACACTTTTTATATTTTATGGAAGAATTGTAAAATCAGATGATTTAGAATGTTTATCTAAAATAATATCTGATGTGTTTGGTCCCAATTCTAATGAAATCACAATATGTTCCACTTTAAACATAAATAATATTGCAACTGTCCAAACAGGATGTGCAAATAATAAAGTTAATTCTTTGTAATATTTATTAAAAAATACTCTTTATATATAATTAGATAAATACTAATGCTTTAATTAAATTTTTTTAGATTGATTTCCTCAACACAAGTTGTTAGCTATTATTTAAACAAAGATAATTTTAAATGCTTTTCAAATACTTTAGCCTTATTGTATGAATATCATAAACTAGATATTTTTTTTATATTTTTATATTAATACATTTATATATCATATTAATATTTAATTATTTAAAAAATAAAGAACATTAGATAATTTAAAAATAGATTCGGTAAACCCATTTGGAAACACATTAGAAGGTGAGGTTGCAGAAAAAATTGATTTAAAAAATTGTGTTTATAGTGATGATGAAAATCCATTGGTAACATCAGGAAACAGCTTACCAATTGCTACCACTTTATTGTCTATAATAAATGACCGTAATTCAATCAAAAAAATGAACTTTTTGTCATTTAGATATGTTAAAAATCTGTAAGTAATTTAATCATTTTGGTTTTTTATGGTTATATTTTAATTTTGCTTTTTCTTTTTTTCAAAATAATAGTTATTATGGTTATAATCAACTACCCAACAATGCCTTCACACAATTTGTGAACGATTTGCCAAACCCAGACCCAGCACATACTTTTGAGGCGCTGTAAGTTTAATTACAAAAAAATTATTTTGAACTCATTATTAACTTTAACTTAATATCAAATAGCGATATAGCCACAAATAATGTCCCAGATTTTTATGATATCAATATTGAATTTTTAAACATACGGTTGATAGATAAAGATTCATCACTATCCAAGTCATCATTAGAAAATTTGGATACTCTCAACAAAGTAACCACTTTTCAAATAACATTTGATGGAGAAATGGATTTTCCCATTCCTTTGGGATCATCAGATAATATGTATGAATCTTTGCATATACGGGGCTCCTTTAAAGTTGGTGACCCAGGTGGTTATGAACTCCCAGATAGTTGTTTACACTATTACCAATTCAAAGAATCTCCAAATTTTAATATCAACGGAAAACTTCCTTTTAAAAAATATCCAAAGAATTTAACTACATTTGCTATCTATGGATCTGGTTTAACCATATTCCCAACTGATCTACCAAATACCATTCGAGCATTGTAAGTAGTTTTAAAATTTAAAAGATAGAAACATTTATAATTGTTTTATTAATATCATCATTATTTTAGGGATATTAATAACAATTTTCTATCAAACAATGGTGAATTACCAGATGTTTCGATGTATCCTTTACTTTCTTCCCTTTTTCTAACAAACACTGGGTTTTCAGGATCAATACCAGAGTCTTATTGCTCTCTTATATGTAGTTTGAAATCTAATAATCTTATTGGTACATGGCCTCAATGTAAAGTATGTTATGAAAGTGAATTTCCTTCCTATTTTGATAACAATCCTTTGTTACAAAAAGGTGTTTGTGGTAAGTGTTTTATTATTATTATTATTATCAATCTTTGTTTATAATCCTTAATTATGTATTTAATAATTTTTAGATACTGGCTCTCTTGTCCCAAATTTAGAAATAGTTGATGAATCAGGTGATAAATATCTTTTGTTAACTGGTAATAATTTAGGATTAAATCCTCCACAGATCAAATTATATGGTTTATATTTTAGTGTTATTGTGAAACAGTCAGAATATAATTTATTATGGTCTCCATCATACGGAGAAATACCAGAAACTGTTGTGGTAACAATTGGTCCAAGAGATTTTACACTGGCTACTAAAAATTTAACACCAAAGTTTAATAGCATTACAGGCTCCGGTAAAGAATATATTATTACAGGTTCGAACTTCTCTTATAATAAAGCTGATTTTAAAGTTAAGTTTGAAAATATTGAAGGTACAATCAAATATATTGATTTCAATACTATTACAGTTCAATTTGATAACCCAGAAAAATTACCAAATGGAGATGCTATTCCTGCAAAAATTATAAATATAAAATCAAATCTCTATGTTGATTTTAATGTCAAAATAGATATTTATAAACCTTGTACATCAGATTGTGGTGCTTCTAGTGGAAAAGGTTCTTGTGATTCTAAAGTTGGCGAATGTATTTGTATTCAAAAATGGACAGGCGATACATGCAGTACTCCAAATCAGTTTTTAACATCAGCATCATCAACATCAACCAAAGGAGGTGTAGTAAATTTGTATGGTTGGTTCGGAACACCAAACGTAGGTTTAAAAATATATATCGATGGAGCAGAATGTAAACCTATTCACACCATTTCAGAAACATTTGTAAACTGTACAATTGGCGCAGGATCAGGTACAAAATCAATTAAAATTGTTCAAAATAATAAAGAGTGGATCGGTAATAATATGTTCCATTATAATGAAGATAACTATAGTTGTCCAAAAGATTGCTCACTAAACGGTATTTTAAATGGAGATTGTAACAAGTCAACAGGTCAATGTAAATGTTACTCTGGATGGGGTGGATTCGATTGTAATTCAAAAACAACAACAGAAAATCCTTCAACAACTGGCAGTACAACAACAACACCATCACCAACTAATCCACCTGAAATTGAAATCCCCAAATCAAACACAACAGTTAATGAAAGTACAGGTTCAACAGTTATCACCAATCAACAAACACTATATGAAATATCAATTATATCATTAGTCGAGTTAGATGTATTAGACAATGTTATTTTAACCTATAATCTAACAAACAAATGGGTTATTGACAACAATATTACAAATAACAATATTCATATATTTAAACAAAATATTACAGATATTTGCAACATTACATATACCGTTGAAGATATAAAAGAACAAAGAGATTACGAATTTGCAGGACTACAATTAACATTAGATAAAGACTCAATTAAAATAACAGTTTCAATCCACAACTATCCATTTACAGGCTCTTTAAATAAACTACAGCTTAGAATAGAATCATCAGTAGATGACATTAATGAAAACATAAATAACCAATGTAATAATAAAGAAACAGCAATAGATTCAGAATTATTAAACAGCAACCAATTATTAAACTATATTACAATTTCAAAAAATCAAAAAGTATTAAATGGAAGATTTATCAATAGAGTATTAAGCGATAACAGACAATCATTTATTACAACATCATTAATATCAAATACAACAACACCAACAAACTCAACACAAAATAATAAAAATAAACAATCGTTTATTATTGGAATAAATTTACCATACTTTACAGAATCATTAACAATTGATCCAGACTTTGCAGTATTAGTATCACCATCATTCAAGAAATGCTCAAATTCAGGACGTGCAAGTTGGGTGTTACCAGTTGCAATCGTTGTACCATGTGTTGCAGTAATTACAATCTTTATTTTTGGTGCCATTATTTACAATAAAAACCGTACATCTGTTTTAATAATTAAAAAAAAATTTTCATTTAAAAAGAACCACAATTTATACATGCCAAATGGAGATGAAAATGAATTAAAAAAATTTTAATCAAACCATAAATAAAATTTAATATGGCTTTTTTTTAAAAACGGTGACCTTTTCCACAAAATATATGTTTTTTTATAAACCAAACATTAATTATAAAAAAAAACAAATCATTTTACGAAAAATCATTTTTATTAATTTTTAATTTTTTTTCTTTTTTTTTTTTGATTTTTTTGAATGGAAAAACCAAAATTTTCTATTTTTTGGTGACTTCCAAGCTTAATAAAAAAATAATAAAAAAAAAATAAAAAAATAATAAAATTTAAACTTTTTTTTAATATTATTATTGATTGGTCGGATTTTTTTTTTTTTGAATTTGAATTTGGATTAAGACCAAAAAAAAAAAAAAATAATAACCATCCACAAAAAAATACAAACAATAATGAAATTAATATATTTAGTTTTTCTATTTTTAATACTAAATATAAATAAAAATGGATTTGTAAAATCTGATGACTTGTCATGTTTGTATAATATAATCAAAGATATATTTGGTGATAATTCAGTTTCCTTATGTGGTTATTATGAAATTCTTAAAAATTCATACCAAACAAAATGTGAAAATAATAAAATTGTTGAATTGTATATAAAAATATAAATAAATAAAAAAATATTTTAAAAATATTTTTAAACTAATGGCTTTTTTATTTAATTTAGAACTATAAATTCAGTAATTGATCCTCTAAACTATTTAACAAATAATCATTTTAAATGCTTTTCAAATAAATTTGATAGATTGTATGTGTGTTTAATTTCAAATAATTATTTTATTATTTTTATTTTTTTCGAATCCCTTTCATTTTTTAAAAAAATTCTAATTTTTTTTTATCATTGTTTTAATTAATGTTTTATTAAATTTATTTCCATGTTAGAACTTTGACTGGATTAAAAATAGATTCACAGAATACATTTGGCACAAATGATGAAGAAGGAGTTTCAAATTATATATTTTTAACCAATTGTAGGTTTAGTAATGAAGAAAACCCATTAACAACACCAGGAAATAGTTTACCAAAAATAGAATACCTATATATTAATATTGGTGTACTATCAAACTTTAAAACATTTTATTTTTCTTCATTTAAAAATGTTCAAAATATGTAATTATTATTTTTTTCCTTTATTACATACAATTTTTTAACTGAAATATTTAAAATTTTTATTTCTAATTTTAATTTTTTTAATATAGAAATTTTAATTATGATCCTTCCTATTCCTCCACCTATACAACATTTATAAATGATTTTAAAGACCCAGCTTACCAATTTAATATTATGTAAGAACTAATATAATATAAAAAATAAATAAAAATAAATAAATAAATAAAAACTAATTAAAATATTATAAAATAGGACTATTACAGTAAAAAATATTCCAACTTTTATAGATACCTCTATTAAGTCACTCATATTAGAATTGGTAGATATAAATTCAAACGAAATTCAACAATCAATATCAAATTTAAATACATTTAATATGGTAGAAACAGTAAAGCTATATTATAAAGGAGAACTCAACTTTCCAAAAGAATTAGGATCATCAAATAATAAGTTTTTATCTTTGCATATGTATGGTGCCTTTAAAGTAGGTGATCCAGATGGATATGAACTCCCACAAAGTTGTTTAAATTACCAACAATTTGTAGACTCACCAAATTTTAATATAAATGGACAAATTCCTTTTAAATCATTTCCACCCAATTTAATAACCTTTGGTGTTGAATCATCTGGCTTAACTGTATTCCCAACCAATTTACCAAATACCATTCAAGCATTGTAAGAAGTTTTGAAATTTATAAACAGTTTTTATCAAACCTAATATATTAACTTTTTCTTTAGGATTATTAATAATAATAACTTTTCAAAAAATGTTTTAACAGAATTACCCGACCTTTCGATCTTCCCTAAATTGGATACTGTAATCTTTCAAAGTGCTGGGTATTCAGGACCAATTCCAGAAATTTACTGTAGCTATGTATTTAATTTAAAAAACAATAATCTTAGTGGTAAGTGGCCACAATGTATGGTATGCCATCAAGAGTTTTTTAAAGACTATTTAATTGGAAATCCTTTATTAGATCCTGGTATTTGTGGTAATTATTATTTTTTATATTAAAATAACATTATTATTCTTTACTAACTACCTAAACTAAATTTTAGAAATTGGATCAGTTGTTCCAAATTTAGAAGTAAATGGATCATCAAATTTGAAATATCTTTTATTGACTGGTACCAATTTGGGTTTAGAAGCCCCAGTGATCAAAGCTTTTAATATGAATTTTATTGTTATAAAGGCCCAATCATCCTTTTCATTGGATTGGGATGTACAAATTTTGGGTGAAATACCAGAAACTATTGTGGTATCCATTGGTTCAAGAGATTTTACTCTGACCACGATAGATATAACACCAAAGTTTAAAAGCATTACAGGCTCCGGAAAAGAATATAATATAACAGGCTCGAACTTCTCTTATAATAAAACTGATTTTAAAGTTATGTTTGAAAATATTGAAGGTACAATCAAATATATTGATTTCAATACCATTACAGTTCAATTTGATAACCCAGAAAATTTACCAAATGGAGATGCTATTCCTGCAAAAATTGTGAGTACAAAATCAAATCTCTATGTTGCTTTTAATGTCAAAATAGATATATATAAACCTTGTACATCAGATTGCGGTGCTTCTAGTGGAAAAGGTTCATGTGATTCTAAAGTTGGCAAATGTATTTGTATTCAAAAATGGACAGGCGATACATGCAGTACTCCAAATCAGTTTTTAACATCAGCATCATCAACATCAACCAAAGGAGGTGTAGTAAATTTATATGGTTGGTTCGGAATACCAAACGTCGGTATAAAAATATATATCGATGGATCAGAATGTAAACCTATTCACACCATTTCAGAAACATTTGTAAACTGTACAATTGGCGCAGGATCAGGTACAAAACCAATTAAAATCGTTCAAAATAATAAAGAGTGGATCGGTAATAATATGTTCCATTATAATGAAGATAACTATAGTTGTCCAAAAGATTGCTCACTAAACGGTATTTTAAATGGAGATTGTAACAAGTCAACAGGCCAATGTAAATGCTACTCTGGATGGGGTGGATTCGATTGTAATTCAAAAACAACAACAGAAAATCCTTCAACAACCGGCAGTACAACAACACCATCACCAACTAATCCACCTGAAATCGAAATCCCCAAATCAAACACAACAGTTAATGAAAGCACAGGTTCAACAGTTATTACCAATCAACAAACACTATATGAAATATCAATTATATCATTAGTCGAGTTAGATGTATTAGACAATGTTGTTTTAACTTATAATCTAACAAACAAATGGGTTATTGACAACAATATTACAAATAACAATATTCATATATTTAAACAAAATATTACAGATAATTGCAACATTACATATACCATTGAAGATATAAAAGAACAAAGAGATTACGAATTTGCAGGATTACAATTAACATTAGATAAAGACTCAATTAAAATAACAGTTTCAATCCACAACTATCCATTTACAGGTTCTTTAAATAAACTACAGCTTAGAATAGAATCATCAGTAGATGACATTAATGAAAACATAAATAACCAATGTAATAATAAAGAAACAGCAATAGATTCAGAATTATTAAACAGCAACCAACTATTAAACTATATTACAATTTCAAAAAATCAAAAAGTATTAAATGGAAGATTTATCAATAGAGTATTAAGCGATAACAGACAATCATTTATTACAACATCATTAATATCAAATACAACAACACCAACAAACTCAACACAAAATAATAAAAATAAACAATCGTTTATTATTGGAATAAATTTACCATACTTTACAGAATCATTAACAATTGATCCAGACTTTGCAGTATTAGTATCACCATCATTCAAGAAATGCTCAAATTCAGGACGTGCAAGTTGGGTATTAGCAGTCGCAATCGTTGTACCATGTGTTGCAGTAGTTACAATCTTTATTGTTGGTGCTATTGTTTACAATAAAAACCGTACCTCTGCTTTAATAATCAAAAAAAAATTTTCATTTAAAAAGAACCACAGTTTATACATGCCAAATGGAGATGAAAATGAATTAAAAAAAATATAATAAAGACCTTTAATAAAGTTTAATATGAACCATCTTGGCTTTTTTAAAATATAGGCAAAAAAAATAAAATTTATTTTTTCGTAAATTTTATAACACAAATTGCTAAATTAAATTTTATTTTGTATTTTGACTAAATTTGTTTTTTAGGTTTATTTTTTTGATTATTACTATTTTGTTTTTTATTATTATTATTATTATTATTATTATTGCTATTGCTATTTTTATTGTTTTTAATTTCATCCCTATTGTCATATAATAGTTGATCTGAAACGTCACCAGAAGGAATTAATTTATTTGTTTGTTTTTTATTTACAGTATTATTAAATTTTTCTTTTTCTTTGTCTTTTTCAATTTTTTGTTTTAGTTTCTGTTGTTCTTGATTTTCTTTTTGTCTTTGTAATTGAATTCTCTTTGCCTCTTGTTCTCTTTCATCATTTTTTTGTTTTCTAATAACTTCGAATTCTTTAAGTTTTTCTTTATGCTGCTGTTTTATTTTCTTTTTTTCATTTTTATACAATGCCTCTATTTCTTTATATTTTTCGATATTTTCATTTCTGTCTAACAAAATTTTGATTTTATCTGTTTCATTTAATTCGCTAGTATTTGCTGCAGAGGTATTTATTGTGGGTGATCCTATTATAGCATTATTATCTATATTATTATCATTACTATTATTATTTTTAATTATATTTTGCAATTTAAAAAATTCATCTCTAGATTGTTTAGTTTGATTAAATAATTTTTGATAAATTTCATTTGCTCCATCATAATCTAATATCCCTAAGACACTGATTTTAATTGTTTTACCAATTGATTTACCTAAACTTCTACTGGATAATGCAAATGTATATAGTACTTTTTTCGACCTACATAACCTAATAATATCCTCTACCAATTTATTTAATGCTCCATTCTCCTCTATATTTGAAGATATTATAACACATGATATTTTATCTACTTCCAATAATTTTAAAACTTCTCTTAAACCACTAACAAATCTTTTTTTTACTTTATTTGGGTTATTATTTTGGAAAGATTTCTCTTGAAATCCCTTTAATATCCTGATCAACTCTTTACAAGTATTATCAATCTCTTTATTTGGTAAAATTTGATTTATATATTCTTTAATGTTAACATTTGTTGTATTTGTTGTAATTATATCGCTACTATTATTATTATTTTCGGTATCATTATTGGTATTGCTATTGCTATTGCTATTGCTATTGTTATCGCCATTATTGTCGCCATTACTATTATCACTATTGTTATTGTTATCTATGGTACTATTATCATCCAATAGTTTAGTTGGTGGTGTGGTTGCTGTCTCTACTTTACTTTCTTCATTTTCTAATTGAGTTGAATTTTCTTTTTTAAAATAACTTTCTTTTATACTATTATATAACTCTATATCTCTTTTTAGCCTTGTAGGTTTAATTTTTTTTTCAGTTTTAACATAAAAACATTTCTTTTTTTGTGATTGTAATGGTTGTTTTTTTACTAATTTATCTCTTGTATGTTGATGTGATTGAGATTGTTTGTTAGTGTCATCCTTTACATAATCTTCAAATGAAATTTTATCAAACTTCTTTCTTAATTTTGAAAAGGACACATTTTTATTTCTAGATAGATGTAATTATAACTGGTTTATTACTTTTATTAT